ATCCCTGCAGGCTCTGAGTACAATGAAGAGCGAGCGCAACTTAAAAATAAACTGACGAAAAGTCTGCGCAACGATCGTGAACAGTGGTGGGCAGCAAAGGCTAAAGAGATGGAAAAGGCAGCGGCGATCGGTAACAGTAGACAGTTATTTAGACTTATTAAGGAGACTGGGGGGAAATGGTCAACAACAGTTAGTGAGGTTATAGCGGAGAAGGACGGATCGGCGATTCACTCGCAGGGAAGGCGACTGGGACGATGGGCAGAACACTTTGAGGAACAGTTTAACTGGCCTCCAGCCACCATTGCGCTGCCCGCTATCCAGTCGGACCCTGAATGGGACATAGAGACAGGTCCCCCAACACTAGAAGAAGTTGAGAAAGCGGTAGGTAGCCTGAAACGGGGAAGGGCAGCAGGACCAGACGGACTACCTGCTGAGGTATACAAGAATGGTGGTAGAGTTCTCTTAGTCAGGCTAACGGAAGTGTTAGCCAGTATATGGGAATCAAATACGATCCCCTCCGACTGGTCTAAGTCACTGATCATCCCAGTCTTCAAGAAAGGCGAGAAGTCCTCTTGTGATAACCACAGAGGAATCAGCCTGACAAACATAGTGTCTAAGATCCTAAGTTCTATAATTCTCCGACGCCTGAGTGGAGCTCGGGAACAGCAAGCCCGAGAAAACCAGGCAGGCTTTAGACCTGGCCGTGGATGTATCGACCAAATATTCACACTGCGCCAGGTCCTGGAACATAGGCATGCTTACAGACGCCCGACAATAGCTGTATTTCTCGACCTGAAGGCGGCATTTGACTCCGTTGATCGAGAAGTCTTATGGCAGTGTCTGTCACTGAAAGGCGTGCCTAGTAAGTACATCACCTTATTGAAAGCTCTCTACTCGAACACTTGTGGGCATGTTAGAGCCTATGGTGAGTTGTCCAGGGAGCTATACTCATCAAGTGGTGTCCGTCAAGGATGCCCACTATCCCCATTCTTATTTAATTTTATCATAGATATTCTTATGGAGGTTTCCCTCTCGTCACCTAATTACAAAGACGTTGACCGGACCACAGGTGAATTTTCCTTAGATCTAGAATATGCAGATGACATAGTCCTGTTAGGTGAAGACGCTGACAAGATGCAGAGTCTTCTGAACACTTTGAGTGGGAATTTGAGAATGTTTGGGATGCGATTTTCACCACCCAAATGCAAATTTTTGCTCCAGGACTGGTCTTCAGCGGTACCGCGGTTAACAATAGAGAGTGAAGTGGTTGAGTGTGTTGACCACTTCACTTACCTGGGAAGTAGGATCAACTCCGGTGGGTTAGTTGCCGATGAGATTTCTGCACGGATACAAAAGGCTCGATTGGCTTTTGCCAATTTGCGCCACCTATGGCGCCGCCGTGATATTCGTTTGTCTATTAAGGGTCGCGTGTACTGCACAGCAGTCCGCTCTGTTCTACTGTATGGCTGTGAAACATGGCCATTGAAAGTGGAAGACATGAGAAGGTTACAGGTATTTGACCACCGTTGCCTTCGTAGTATAGGACGTATTCCGTGGTGTCACCATGTGAGTAATGCAGAAGTTAGGTGTAGAGTTTTAGGGAGAAGAGGTAAGTCAGTCGACGAGGTTGTGAACCTTCATCGACTGAGATGGTTGGGACACGTACTACGTATGCCTAGTCACCGATTGCCTCGTCACACAATGTTGGCTGAGGTGGGTTCAGGCTGGAAAAAGGCCCGAGGTGGCCAGACTAAAACATGGCACCAATGTATGAAGTCTCTGACTGTTGGTTTAAGCCATGTAGGACGATGCAGACTAGGTGGTTGGGGTCCACGGGACAAGAGGAACCAGTGGTTGGAGACCCTAGGTGATATGGCTCAGAACCGAAGTCAGTGGCGCAGATGTATACACACATTATCCTCATCTTAACAACGCTATACCGAATCTCACTATTTTGTCACTCCTCTTTCCTTTCTTCTCATACTTTATATTTCTTTTGACTGCATTCACTTATCTTCATCCTTCACCTCACTACCTTTTTACTTGATGTGCTGATATGAGGTGTGGCAACTCGGACCGTTACGCAGTAATGCCTGGTCCTATGTTGATAATGATGATGATGATGATGATGATGCTTCCTTTCCTCATTATGATCGAAGCCTACAGGAACGGGTTCGTGTGCATCCATCAATTCAGAATAAGGTTCTGAGATTCACTGACTTTTCTAACCACTTCCTGAGAGTCGGCTATCTTCAACTCTTCTTACAGCAGACTGGAGTTGGCTGCAGGCTTCTTCCAGATGAGTGACATTTCTCTGTTTTGATAACTGCCTAACCAATTTCTGGCTGAAAGCAGCCTTAATGTTCTCATTGTTAAGGTGCTCTCGTAACTGTCTTTTTGCTACAATTTTTTTTGACCGGCTTAGGAGGACATACTCGAACCGACGCGTTTTCACTGTCTAAATGCATTCCCCAGAAGGAGCAGTAACCTCCTACCGACCCTCTCTAGCGATAACTGATAGTAATATAGTCTGTTTGTGTGCACCGTTGAGTTGAGGTCAGTGGACGCCACTTCAGAGTTTGCGCTAGTCGGTCAGGAATAAATGGTTATCTGAGCACAATTGTACCAGGTGACTACCGTTATCTGTTCGCTCGGTTGGGATTTCGAAAGGTCAATTTGAATTACTTTCTGCTTATCTGACCTACTCGCCTATGAATTCGAATTACGTGGAACAACAACCACCTCTGAATATTCGGGTTTTCGGTAAGAGGGTAAAAATTTTTCAGTAGAATTCATCCTTCGCTTTTTCGGAGTTACAGTCAGTGAGTGGGTAAGCAGAGATAAAAAAGAGAACGGTTCAATTGCAATCAGTCAAACAATATCGCTGTGGCATCTGGTAATATTGCTTTACGGTCCAAGTTGCTACACGTCTTATCAGCTTCAGATGGTAATACTTGGTAAGAAGATGAAAAATGTAGAAATTGGGAAAGAGAATACAGTCAAAAATCGTTGATAATCATAAGACGAGAGTAAGAGGTAGTGAGGTAATGATGAACCATGATATAACAACTGCAATACAGATAATGTGTGAATGTGTCTGCACTACTGAGATCAATTCTGAGCTCCTATCGCCTAGAGTCACCAACCAGAGATTTCAGCTTGCGTGTGAACTGTAACCGAGATGTCTACATTTCTCTGTACGGCTCAGACCAACAACCAGAGACTTAATGAACTGGTGTCACACTTAATCCTAACCATCGTTATTTTTTTCTCAGCTTAAATCTACTTTTGCTAACATTGTACTTTAGGGGAGACACTGATTCAGCATACATGAAGCACGTCCCAGCCACCTGAGTCGATGAAGTTTGAAATAATCTCATAAACTGGCTCACCTCTTCTCGGGAAGACTGTACGTCTAATGTATGCACTGAAAACGAGTACCTAAAAGATAAAGTGTCTTGTAGTTTCTGTTGTTACAGCTATGTTTCCGTGTCTTATAGATACAGTAGAACAGAGCGGACTGCTGGTCGCGTGTACTGCACAGCAGTCCGCTCTGTTCTATTGTATGGCTGTGAAACATGGCCACTGAAAGTGGAAGATATAAAAAGGCTTCAGGTGTTTGACCACCGTTGCCTTCGTAGTATAGGACGTATTCCGTGGTGTCACCATGTGAGTAATGCAGAAGTCAGGTGTAGAGTTTTGGGGAGAAGAGGTAAGTCAGTTGACGAGGTTGTGAACCTTCATCGACTGAGATGGTTGGGACACGTACTACGTATGCCTAGTCACCGACTGCCTCGTCACACAATGTTGGCTGAGGTGGGTCCAGGTTGGAAAAAGGCCCGAGGTGGCCAGACTAAAACACCAAACCAATGTATGAAGTCTCTGATTGTTGGTTTAAGCCATGTAGGACGATGCAGACTAGGTGGTTGGGGTCCACGGGACAAGAGGAACCAGTGTTTGGAGACCCTAGGTAATATGGCTGAGAACCGAAGTCAGTGGCGCAGATGAATACACACATTATCCTCATCTTAACAACGCTATACCGAATCTCACCATTTTGTCACTCCTCTTTCCTTTTTTCTCGTACTTTATATTTCTTTTGACTGCATTCACTTATCTTCATCCTTCATCTCACTACCTTTTTATTTGATGCGCTGATATGAGGTGTGGCAACTCGGACCGTTAAGCAGTAATGCATGGTCCTATGTTGATAATGATGATGAATGATGATGTCTCATAGATACAGTCACTCTACTTTCAACCAGTGAGGTCTAATAAGATTCCCGGATACGGTTAGTTAACGATGCGTCATTTAGTTACTGAATAAACGGTACGATCCTTGGCATCTGACTCAGCTGACTGACACACAATACAGACAATGTTGGACTGAAGAGAGTTTACTCCAACCGAAAGTATGAAGGTATCAATCCTGGGACACAACTCTTGTGCTTTTATGCAATGTGTGCGCCTTTGGGGTGGATAGACGAAGTAGCATATTGAAAGTGGGAGATTAACCAATAGGAAAGCAACATTTTTAAAAATGGTGAAATTAAGCAATACATATGGGGCGAGAAAACGCTCGAAAAAGATAATTCAAACTTTCCATAAGATTAATTTATAAAATTTAAGCGTAAAACGTTCATTTTTGATGATATATCGATCGCCAACTAGGTCACCTACTGAAGTTTGGGCAACCAGGTGGTATCATTACCTCGCATATGATAGATATGACTTATCGCCTACCGCATAAAGGTCCCCATGGTTGCTAAATCGTATGTCGACGTTACATACCTCATTAAATCCTGTTACAAATCTTTATTCCTTTTCTACTCTGTCTATTACAACTTCTAATTGAAATGAATAGGGAGTAAAACTTCGTTATGTGTACATTTAGAAAAAGAATACCAATTATCAGTTGGTTGATTCATATTTTTCTTTCCTTTTTACCTTTTATAGTGAACTTTCCTAATCAAGTAAGTGTGTAGTATAAGTGAATTGAAGAGAGTGTAGACAAAATTTCATAATTTTCAATTATAATGGAGCAAAGAATAAAGAATGCAGTGAAACGATTAGATCAACTCGATCAACGACTTAATGATTACAAACCATTACTTGATCAAAATGTTTTAAACGCTGAATTTGAGATCAGAGCAAATTTCAAAAGTTTAATGGAATTATTAAGTAAACGTCAATCAAATCTACTTATTCAACTCAATAATATTTATAAAGAAAAGTCTCTACTCATTGAAAGGTAAGTTTAGGGTAACTCAATTTAATATAATCCCAGTATGTTTAGAAAATCAAAACCAAGTATTTCTAAACGTTTCGCTGTTTAAGCTACAGCTTCTTCAGTAGAATATACGAACTTTTGCTCTTAGTGACTAGGAGAGGAGTCTAGGATGTGCGGGTTTCCTTCTACTTGGGACTCGTCAGGTGGATGTACCTGCACCCTGATGTGGAGTGAGTAATGTTGTTCTCACTGAGGTTCGAACCGAGTACCCTTCACTTCAAACGCCAGAGCGTTATCCACCGGACCACCTCTTGTGCAATCGGAATCAGTTGTTGTAATGATACTTGTAATTCCCCGTTGCTATACAGGGTCGAATCGTTCGACCTCTGTTAGCAGATGGGGTCCTATGCGAATGCCTCGATACTACCGGATGTTCATGAGGTTATATTGTGGCTATTGTACCCCGTTGGTTCAGTGGATAATGCTCTGGCGTTTGAAGCGAAGGCTACTGGGTTCGAGCCTCAGTGGGGGGGGGGGACAACATCGCTGCGCACTGGCAGTGCAGGCACATCCGCCCGCATTCTGGGTTCCTCTGTTAGTCAACAAGATTTCTATTACATCATCCCCTCTTGATTTAAGCTCATCGATCCATATGAACTGTGGTTACGACTAACTTTGAAGAATACTACTGCGAGATAACAAGCAATAGGTTTCTCATCTTTGAACTTTAGCTGCTTTTGACAATCATCAAGGGTGGTTAGCAAAATTAACGCATGATACGCGTGTTAACCTTATGTTGGAGCAATAAGAATACTTTGAATGAAATGAGAATTCAAATCCTTATTACATTTAGTTCTTACTAGAATCACTATATTTGATGATTGATGTTCTCTGTCTATCTCTTCCTCTCTGCTTGTTGACACAAACCGTAGTATTTTATTTATATTATTATTTGTTCCTTGGGTTCCTAATGGAACATAGGGCTTCAGTAACACGCCTCCATTGCACTCTGTTTTCTGCAGTCTTTTCAACCTGAATCCACGACTGCCCACAAGCTTTTATTTCTTCCTCACATGATCCTCTCCATGTCACCCTTGGACGCCCAACTCATCGTTTCCCATCGGGGTTCCACTCCACGGCTTGGCCTGACGCATGATGTCCCCAGTCGGCCTTCTCAGTGTATGCCCAATCCATCTCCACTTCCTTCTGCACATTTGTTGCGTGATAGGTTCTTTGTTGGTTCGTTGCCAGCCAGCCAGAGTTTGTAAAGTCAATAGGTTAGTCTAAGGGGAATCCCTGTTTTGTGGGTTTTTGATCTACCGTAGAATCTAACGACTGCGTTCGTTTTAGGAAGTAATGAAAACCATGTTTTATTTCCAAGTTTAAGTTTCATTTCTTTCAGTAATTTACATGTTTTAGATTTCAATTTATTCAATGTACTTGAATATTTATTTCTTTGGATAAGTTTATATGGTTCAGTTTCTGAATGATCTAGTGTTTTCTTTTCATAATCTTTATTTAACACTACCATCAAATTGCCTTTGTCCTGCTTACTTTATGACTATTGATTTGTCAGATACTAACGTTTTTAAAGCTACTCGTTCTTCTTTCGTTAAGTTAAAAGTAACAGGAATCTAGATTGTTATGATGGTTCTGATCTTAAGACATATTGTAGGAGCTTCTTCTCTCGGTATAACCGATAAAATTGGTTCCATAAGCTTTCATTTCTTCCTCACACAATATACTCCATGTCACCCTCGTCTCGGATGCCCAACTTGTCGTTTCCCCTTTAGTTCCACTCGATGGCCTGGCCTGGTGCGTGATTTCCCCAAACTGTCTTCTCAGTGTATGTCCAGTCCAATTCGTCTGCACTTTCTTCTACATATTTGTTGGGCGATAGGTTCTTGGTTGGTTGGTTTGTTGCCAGCCAGCCAGAGTTCCTTGTTTCTTATTCTTATTATTCTGGCTATCTGATCTTCCTTACTGTGTGAGCGTAGGCGGCAGCTGTTGATGTATGTCCGCTTTTCGTACCGTGCCAAGTCTCTCAACCATCACGTAGAAGCACTGACTTGACGGATTTAGTGTTAAAAATCCGGATGTTGTTCTTTATGCCGAGTGAAGTGGAGTGCATTGTAGTAGATGTCCACACTGATTTCAGGTTAATGAACGGCTGTCTTGCTTTCCTGACCCTGGCTTTGACGTCCTCGTCTGTGCCGCCTGTAGTTGAGACGATGCTATCTAGGCAGGTGGGTAGGTGAAAGAGACTACTTCGTTTACCTTCCTCCCGTTAATCGTGATTTCTGCTTCTTAGTGTTGTTGTCCGTTGGCTTTCTTCACCAACTCTACCTCTATCTTCTCTACGTTCACCTGAAGCAAGTCCCGTCTTCGCTGCCACCTCTTCTATCAACTTGTTACTTTTCCTCTGTAGATCTTCGACTTTGTGTGACACAAGACATTAGACATAAGTCATCATCATCATCACCAGCGAAATCCAAATCTCCTAGGGTCTTTTCCTCGCATCGATCAAACAGCGTATCCCCATCTCCTCATAGCTCCTCACAGTTTCTTGCTGCATGATCCAGTCCAATCCAGTCTAGTCCAGTCGACCACAATCAGGAATATCATCGGTGATAGTAGGTGACAGACACCCTTGTCTTACTCCTTCCTGTCTTCACTTTGAACGCATCACTGAGCTGAGCTTTCCATTGTGAGTCACTTGGCATGTAGCATCATCACAAAGCATATAGATGCTGTTGAATGAGGTTGATAAAGGTTTGTGGCACTAAAACAGTAGTGTTGAGGCAGGTGCTTGCCAAATTATTTCTCGGTCGATGCTTCGATTGAAGGCCTTTTAAAAATCGATGAAGTTGAGGTAGAGATTGTGTTGACTGGCATTCTATGCTCTGTAATATGATGATGATGCGTAGTGTAGAGTTGCACTTTGATCCGCACATGATTTGTTTTTCGTCAAGTCAGCCAGCCAGCCTGTTCCGGTCATGATTTTGAATCCAGAGCATTTTTAGTCTCTCCAGGATGATGCGGCTAAATATTTTGCTTGGAGTGGGCAGGAGCATTGATTCCATGCCAGTTGTTGTTCTTGCTAAGATGTAGGTCTTCCTTCTTTGGGAGTTTGACAAGTTGGTTGTCCTTCCAGTCGGCAGGTATCTTTCCTTCCTTCCTTGCAAACCTTGTTCAATAGTGTTATGAGCATGTCTGCTACTGTCTCCGTGTCTGTTTTCAGTGCTTCTGGTGGAATTCTATCTGGTCCTGTTGCTTTCGTGGCTTTCAGCAATTTTATGACGTTGAGGACTTCACTTCTGCATTTGTCGGAGGACTTGTGTTCACTGGTAATTCTGTATTGATCTCTTCCCTACCTGGTTATTTGATATAATGTTGTCAGGTCTCTCTCTTCTACCAGTAGCTTGTTGTGTTTCAGTTGAAACTTGTTCCATAATTGGGGCTAATTCTATCGCTCAACTTCTTTCAGGACATTTATAACAACTATGGTCTGGATGTTTATAATTCAGTTTATTATTGTGGTTTTTTTTGACCTTGATTTATGAGTAATAAATAAAATTCTTTTCAATTATATTTTGTATATTTATGATTTATAGTAATAAACAAACAGTTGAATCATTAAAGAGTATTCTAATCAAGTCATGTATAACAAGTCGTAATGAAATTGATTCAAGTGTTGGTGAATATATTCGAAGAGCTGAATTAATCACATTGACAACTGATTTAACACCTTTTATCGCTTTTCATGCAGAGAATAGACAATTAAGTGAAGTAGTATCAACATTTGGTCGTCTCATCTCTAGATATTCTGGTCATTTTGCTGATCCTAATCAACCGTCTGTATGTTTACCACGTGCATTTGAAGAAGAAGAAGATAATAATAATAATAATGATAATGATAATAATAATAATAATGTAAGAATTGGTAAATCAACTCATTCATCTGTATTCAATTGTATTAAATCATTACAATGTTCATGCAATAATCCAACATTGAAGCCATGGTTATCTTCTATTGAACATAAATGTCAACAAAAATCTTCTTTACATTCTATAAGTGATTCAATGAAAGAGAGTGAATTGTTTACTCCTAGAACAAATTTGTTTTGGGCCAATAAGTTGTCTGTAAGTTTAAGTATTTCTAGAAAAACTTTACCATCCTTTTTACTTCATTTGACTTAATACTCTCTAAATCTTTCGTTCATACGTTGTAGCTAAACTTGACAAGAAATTTAGCATTAGTATCATACAATTGCTTACTACCGATACATAATATTATCAATAATTTTTCTGATGTCATTCACTCAACAATCCCCTATGAAACTCTATCCATCCAGAGCAATCTAGGACCAGGCATTACTGCGTAACAGTCCGAGTTGCTACACCTCATATCAGTACATCAAGTAAAAAGGCGATGAGGCGAAAGATGAAGATAAGTGAATGCAGTCAGAAGAAATATAAAGTACGAAAAGAGAGAAAGGAAGAATGAAAAAATGGTGAGATTTGGCATAGCGTTAAGATGAGGATAATGTGTGTGGGTATACATCTGCGCCGCTGACATCGATTCTGAGCCATGTGATCATCTGGAGTTTTCAACCACTAGTTTCTCTTGTCCCGCAGACCCCAACCACCGAGTCTGCATCGCCCCATATGGCTCAAACCAACAGGCAAACACTTCATACATTGGTGCCATGTTTTAGTCTGGCTACCTCGAACCTTTTCCAGCCTGGACTTACTTTGGCCAACATTGTGTGACGAGGCAGTCGGTGACTAGGCATACGTAACACGTGTTCCAACCATCTCAATCGATGAAGGTTCATAACCTCGTTAACTGATTTACCTCTACTCCCTCAAACTCTACACCTGACTTCTGCATTACTCACGTGGTGACACCATGGGATACGGCCAGGCAAAGGTGGTCAAACACCTGAAGCCTTTTTATATCTTCCACCTTCAATGGCCATGTTTCACAGCCATACAATAGAACAGACCGGACTGCTGTGCAGGTGCAGTACACGCGACCCTTTGTAGAAGATTGGATATCGTGGTGGCGCCACAGGTGGCGTAAGTTGGCGAAAGCCAATCGAGCCTTTTGTATCCGTGCAGAGATTTCACCGGCCAGTGAGCCAGCCACCAGGGCAGGGCTGATCCTGCTTACTAGGTAAGTGAAGTGGTCGACACATTCAGCCTCTACACTCTCTATTATTAGCCGCGGCACCGTTGAAGACCAATCCTGGAGAAGCAATTCGCATTTGGGTGGTGAGAAACGCATCCCAAACATTTTCAAATTCCTACTCAAAGTGTTCAGAAGACTCTGCATCTCATCAGTCAGCGTCTTCACCTAACAGGACTATGTCATACGCATATTGTAGGTCTACCGAGAATTCTCCTGTGATTAGGTCAACTTCTGTGTAATCAGGCGACAAGAGGGAGACCTCCATAAGAATATCTATGATAAAATTGAATAAGAATGGAGACAGTGAGCACCCTTGACGGACACCACTCGATGAGTCCCCACGAAACTAAAGCAGCATATCAAAGAGTGCAGTATATTTTAGAGCGATGGTTACTGGGTTCCAGTGGTAGAATGTATCGATCACTCCACTTGGAGTTGCATCAGCCCGAACGAGATGATTGGTGACAAAATCTCAGTTCAGATAGAGTAGGCCCATTTGGCACTTGCCAACTTATGTCATCTATGGCGCCGACTGGCGAGATATCCATTTATCTATCAAACATCGAGGATACTGTGCTGCATTTCCTTATATCCTGTTGTACGGTTGTATTACATGACTATTAAAAGTGATTACAGGGTTTTGATCACAAGTGTCGCCATAGTAATGCTCACGTTTGCTGGAATCACTCTGTGAGCAGTTTCCTGGTCCGGCAAGTCGATGGATGAGGTTGTGAACCTTCATCGACTGAGGAGGTTTGGATATGTGTTACACATGCCGATCCACCCCTTACTTCCATATTTCATGCTAGAGGAGGCTGGATTACATTGGAAGAGGGTTCAAAGTGGCCAGACCAAGATGTGGCACCAGTCGATAGAATCTCTGGACGATGCAGACTTCCTGGTTGGGGTCTGCAAGATGAAAAGAATCAGTAGTTGAAGATTCTTGATGATAATGGCACAGATGTATTCACTCTTTGACGTCGTCTAAAGCTTGAAAATTCTCACCACTTGTTTATTTTCAAATCCTCTGTTCCCTTCTATCAAGTGTGACAAATTGAACCACTGCGATTCTGTGCAACTTTCTATGTTGGTTTTGTCCACCTGTCTGTCATTTCATACAATTTGTCCAGTAGTGAACGATGAATTCATGTATTCTACGCCCTGGTTTTATTTTGCTTTCTTTGACTGACACCAATTTATGAAGCTACCATGGTCCTTTTCCATGAAAATGCTGACAAAATTTAGGCTCATAGATACTTTAAATTGTAATCTAAAGATGTTTGGGTTGTGTTTTTCATCACCCAAATTCAAATTGCTGCTTCAGAACTAATGGGTATTTTGATGGATATTCTGAAAATTGAGGGTGAATCGGCTGATAGTATTGACCATTTTTCTTACCTGGAAAGTCAGACTAACCCTGGTGATTAGTTGGTGACCAACAAAATCTCTGCACGGAGACACAATGCTCGTTCGGCTTTTGCTGACTTACTCCACCTATATTAGCACTGATGAGTTCTGTGATTACCCTACAAAGGGGTCGAGTGTAATGCGCAGCAGTTCGCTCTGTCCTACTATATTGTTGATAAACATCAAAGGCGGTAGGTGTTAGAAGGCATTACCCGTATGGTGTGTGACTGCCGTACCAGTAACGTACAGGTGAAGTATCGAGTCATAGGTAAGAGAGGAAAGCCAATTTATAGCTGGAATATCTGCTCCGACTCGCAATATTATCTGAAGTGTGTTTCAGTTGAAAAAAAGGTTAAAGGTAGCCACACTGAAAAGTGACATCAGTCTATGACGTCTCTGACTGTTAGTCTGATCTGTGTGACGGAATAAAGTCTTCGCAGTTGGAGTTCTCTTGACAACTAGAACTCTGATGTATGGTAATGATGGGCAGTGGCTACCAGTGGAATCCAGGATGCACATTTCTTCCTATTTGGGACTCGTCAGCTGGATGTACCTGCCTCCCAGTGAGTGATGTTGTTCCCACCGGGACTCAAAGTCGGGAGCGATCACTTCAAACGCGAGAGCGTTATCCACTACAAGCAATAACATGAACTCTGATGGTTGGGAAGTTTAGTTAAGATGACTCAAAACTGATCTCAGTGGTGCAGATGCATCCATACATTTTCTCCATTATAATTGTTTTCATTAAAATTTCTTTACTTTCACGTCCGAGGACTATATACTTTCATCGTGTTGACTGACTGACTGTAATGAAAGGCTATTCAGCAAACTTTTAAACTTGATAAACGTTTTTCATGTTGAAACATTGAAGGAAATTCGCGTTAATTTTTATTCACCGCTCAATAACATATGAATTTATTTTTAGGATTCTCTTCTTCGAGAAAAAACTTCACCTCAGCATAACTTTGGATTGAGTCCTTCACAATCAGCTGTACATGTACCATGTTATCGACCAGATTCTACTATAGTTCGTACTTGGCTAGAATTAAGGGATAGACAACAACTATCAGAGAGTATGTCTTATCATCAAGGAGGAAATGGGTTTAGTGATGCTTTGAAATGTCCTGGATATCTAGGTACGTTGATATTGAAATAAATTTCTATCTTATTAATTCTCATTGATAAGTTTTCGGAGTATTTTTCTTGTGTGTATTGAAGAATCTTTATTCAATTCGCATTTATATCAATCATCTTCATTACTCCAGGTTATATTTACTACTTTTTAATAAATGAATGAAGGTGTTAGGGATGTTCGGATCTCTTATATTCCATACTTACCGTTTGTATATATTTTGAAATGGGTTACTTCGCGCTCTTTTCTCGCGCATCAGTCATATTTCATATGACCCGCTAGTGTTCTGATTGGTTTCTGCCTCTAAGTGTACTAATTATTCCTTGCCTTTCAAAGTTACTGTAAACTCTATAAATAAGGGACCGTTTTCACTTATAAACGTTTTCAGTTCGAGATTCTATAAACTCATCTGATTTTCAGTCTTTTAATTTTCAATGGCGTAATTGGAAGACGAAGTTTATCTGAACAATGTCTGTGATGTATTTGAGTAATACATTTCGAACAATCTCACCACACATTTACTTGTCAAGTCAATATATATTAAACTGAGGACTGGGGGGGGGTGAGGGGGACAAATACAACAATTAACACAATAAGTGAATAAAATTAAGAAAGATGAGAACAAACAGGAAGTGACATTATTATTATTATTATTATTATTATTATTATTATTATTATTAGTCCCTTGGGTTCCTAGTGGAACATAGGGCTTCAGTAGCACGCCTCCAGTGACCTCTGTTCTCTGAGATCTTTTGAACCTGGTCCCACGACAGCCCACAACCTCTCATTTCCTCCTCGCACGACCTCCTCCATGTCACCCTCGGACGTCCAACTCGTCGCTTCCCATGGGGATTCCACTCGAGCAACTGGCCTGACGCGTGATGTCCTCAGTCGGCCTTCTCAGTGCATGGCCAATCCATCTCCACTTCTTCCTGCATATTTGTTGCGTGATAGGTTCTTGGTTGGTTCGTTCCCAGAGTTCCTTGTTGCTTATTTTTTCTGGCCATCTGATCTTCAGCAGCGAGCGTAAGCAGTTGTTGATGAATGTCTGTAGTTTATTGGAAATGCCTTTCGTGACGCGCCAAGTCTCTGAGCCATACAAGAGCACTGACTTGACGTTGGTGTTGAAAATCCGTATCTTGTTCCGCATGCTGAGTGCAGAAGATCTCCACACTGGTTTCAGGCTAATGAACGCCTGTCTTGCTGTCTTTCCGATTCTGGCTGACTTTGACGTCCTCGTCCGTCCCGCCTGTAGTTGAAACAGTGCTTCCTAGATAAGTGAAGGAGGTTACTTCCTTTAAGTTTCTCCCGTTGATGGTGATTGGAGTTTGCTGTTGTTGTTGATGGTGGTGGTGCGGTATCTTCATCACCTCTGTCTTCTCTATATTCACCTGAAGTCCCGTCTTCGCTGACCTGCCTCTTCTATCAACTTGTTAGTTGTCGCCTGTAGATCTTCAAGTTTATGTGACATTAGGCACAAGTCATCGGCGAAATCCAAGTCTTCTAGGTTCTTTTCCGTCGTCCAGCGTATCCCCCTCTTCTCGCTGCCTACTGTTTGCTGCATGATCCAGTCCACCACAATCAGGAATATCATGGGGATAGTAGGCAACCTTGTTTCACTCCTGTCTTCACTTCACCCCAAAGGCATCACTCAGCTTCCCATTGTGGATTACTTGGCATGTAGCATCTCCATATAGTTGTTGAATGAGGCTGATAAAGGTTTGCGGTACTCCGTAGTATTGAAGCAGTTTCCAAATTACTTCTCGGTCGACGCTGTCAAAGGCCTTCTCAAAGTCGATGAAGTTGAGGCAGAGAGCTGATTGCCATTCTATGCTCTGTTCTATGATGATACGAAGCGTTGCAATTTGGTCAGCACATGATTTGTACTTCCTGAAGCCTGCCTGTGACATAATCAATCCTAATCTTGGTAAGAAAACAAAGTTTACTTAGAGGAAGGTAGGTGTGTAGTGTAAGAACAAACTGTTTTTGTACACATTAAGGTGGCTCAAATTTGTGTATGGCTATGGCTTCCGCTAATCTCGGAATACGTCCCTGACTGGCTGTTTCTATATAAAACTTTGAAAGCTGTTTGAACATTAACTTTGTGACCTGTTTCTATGATATGTTCAGCTATAGATGAAGAGGGTCGTCTCCCACCAGCGTTCATCACTGTTTCACACTCCATTTGTTTTTGTAGCTATTTAGGCACATGTTCTCCGACCCTCAACTGCATGACTCGACTACTCCTCCCTATGTATATGTGACGCACACACACACACACACACACACACATGTAAATTGGTGAACACAATGGGATGTGACGTAATCACTGATTCAGTGTTTAGGTTTTTGGTGAAGCATGTGTTGTGTTTTCTCCACAATGGTAAGATTCGCTGCGTAATATGTTTTCTTAATAACTGATGTCAGCCTACATCTCAAAATGATACTATTTAGCTCCCCTCTGTATGGTAGAGTGATATGGACATTTTTCTTAAGGACAGTGTATCGAGTTGGCTTTTGTGCTACTCGACGTCTACAACGGTTTATGAACTTCGTCGGATATCGATTTTCCATAAGTGCTTTGGTCAGTAATTTGATGTCTTGATCCATCGTATCTGGTGTACTGATACGATAGATCCTACTAAACAGGCATTTTATTAGACCTCACTTGTACTGGAGTGGACAAAAACTGTGGAAATTCAGGTATTGTTCTGTCCATGTAGGCTTTCTGTAAAGTGACCGTCTTATTGAACCATCTCGTCGACTGAGGAGTATATCTATGAATGGCAGTTGATTACTATTCTCTTTCTCACATGTCAGGCTGATGTGTGTTTGTATGGCGTTAAGTCTATTTAGTAGACAAGCCATATCCTCATGCCTCTCACAAATCACTATGATGTCATCAACATATCTCTTGTAAAGAGGAACTTTAGTAATGAGATCACCAGCCAGATTTTCAATATATGGCATATAAATATCAGCTATTAGTGGTCCTAATGGACTACCAATAGCTACACCGTCACCTTGTCGAAAACGTTCACCTTCAAATATGAAGTGGACTTTGTCAGTACACAGCATTAATAACTCCTTCAGAAAGGTTGAAGTAATAGGAAATGGGAGGTTTGTAGGAGATATATATATAGTCACAGAGAATGCTAATAGTCTTGGCCAATGGCACGTCAGTGAATAAGGAATTTACACCGCAAGAGTACATTGCCCAGATAAACTTCGTCTTCTAATTACGCTATCGAAATTCATAGAAGGGACTAACTATTTCAAATTTTAATTTTCATTTGGCAATCACTCTGGTTGAATTTTCTCAACCCTGGACTATCAATCGTTAAGTATTTTCGTTACTTCTCTCAACTCCTCATCATAATAGAAGGTAAGAAGGTCGATTGAGATTTTGCCTTCCTTCTCAATACTACTGTATTATAACTGGACGTGTAGTCTCTAGGTTTTTTTTTAAAGAAAAAAGAACTGAACGACTTTTTAATATTCTTTGGTTACTAGTTAATATGAAAGTTGTTAGAGGTATTGTTCATTGTTTAAGCATTTGATGGCCGTGAACCAGAGGACCTCTAGTTCGAATCCAGCCCCACCTACTTTGACCTGGAAAACTTGATAGAATTATGAACCCTGTCACATAACAAGTGTGACTCATAGCGTGGTACCTAATCGTCTGTACTGAGTTGAGTTGCCCAATTTTTACTGCATTGGTTATTAGTTGAGTATGTTAACAACTGAGCTCACTTAGCAAGCCTCACCAACCTCAGTGAATAACCGATGACTGATGAAGTCTTAGTACGGATGCGAAAGATTGGATTGATTCTTGTTAATTGATTCAACTTATGGCGCTGACAAGATATTTGGATGTCTACTAGGTGTTCATTTCGTTATTCAGGAGTTTTCTCTATTCTACAATATGACTATGAAATATTGTCAGCTGAGACCATTGAAAACTGTATTACGCAGAAGTAACTATGACTCCCTTAGGGTAACCAAATTCATCGTCATAATTACCTGCCAGGGCGTCAATCTGAAGGAGCTGGCGAATAATGGTCGAGTCTAGTTACGCAAGGACAGTGAGCCTCCTCGTGGCTCCACTGGGTTGTAACCAATACACCGTCATATGTGACAGTAGTAATGAGTGTCGAAGAAATCCATATACACTAGTGGTGTGGGTCTCCAAAGCATGGCAAGGCAGCTGGCCGTCGGATTCCGCCCAGTGAACTCGGTTCAGTGCGCCAGTAAAAGGTAAGTGGACCCAGCTTTTCAATCTTCGTAGTCACTGTTGTTGAAATAGTCTCAAGAGGTGTGTGCCTTTCGCCTTGCGAAGGTGAGGCGTAATTCGGTCGGAAATGTCAGGTGTCGTTCGCTGTAACCAAAGTCTTCTCAGGCAGCTTGGAAGGAGTCCCTGCTTCTTCGCTTGGCTTTTTGAAAAATCGTGGACAACCAGTCAAACGTATCTCACGCACATCTGCCGTCGGAGAGATGAGTATGGCTAACGAGCCGATTACCCGGCGAACGCGGATATGTTGGGGTCTGACGGTTGGGAGGGAGGGATTCAATGATCGGTTTTGAGGAAACGTTAACAGAGTGCTCCCGCAGGACTATTAGATTTCATGTAGTTGCGTCGCTACAAGATGTTTCCTGGTTGGTGAAGGGGCCGTTTTCCCCGGGTTAAGAGAAGATAACGTCCAAAGAGACGATGTCCACCCTGGAACTGAGAGCTGAGCTGAAAATCGGAGCAAAATCCGCCAAAAATAGCCAAATGCCTCGTTATCTAGTTAGTGGTCCACATGAATGGATTAAGGAGACTCCGGATGCCCAAATATACACTACCTAGCGAAATCATAGCCAAGGAAAGGGCTTCACAGAATTTGTATTGGCCAAATAAAAACATCACCGGTGCGTAAGGTATTCGACTGTCGGGTCAAAATACCTGAAAAGATTTAGACGTAATGGTTGGGTCTGTGTGAAAACGAAAATACAAAGTTGTGAACTCTTGGCCATATTGTCCACAATTGAAGCATCAATACTATTGTTTTAACTTACATCGATTGTGGGTCGTATCATCTAGAATTTACAGCCTATTATAGCTTTTCTTGGATTCCAAGTAAAAGACCCTTGATAGCGCCACATAGTTTGCACCAATACTGAAAGATAGAAGAATGCATTTATGCTTTGTTTTCGTTCAGGTTTCTGATGCAGAGATCACTTTTTCACCCTTCATCAGATAGCTGCTACCTTGACGTGGTGGTCGGGGTTGCCATGTCACAATGACCCAACCAACTATGCTGGTGGAACAGTTGTTCCCTCGAGGTCCTATTATACCATAAAGGTCTGTTGGATAGTGGTTAGACGAAAAGCATTCACCGTTATGGTGTAAAATACTACACTATGATGGGAGTATGAGGGCGAAGTCGTACTGCTGCTAGCTGGATGGGGTGTGACAGGTACTTTAAGATTAATCAGATACTCGAGTATCGTCACATGTATTTCCGGCTGAAATTCGCTATGCCACCATAATCCAATGGATTCCTTCAATTCATTCATTAGAAAAAACTGAATCCTGGAATTGTTTGTCAGGATGGAGGTAGTTTCCGAAAAGAGGATCATGTCCAAAAGCCGCTCATGTAAAGTGAGGGTATGCAACTACCTCTCCATTTTTTCAAACCATCAGTGTGGTTTAGTAGGGTTGCCCGATTTCGCCACTCATCGACGACATTCTTAAGATACTTTCAGAAGAGGTACCTGGTGGCGGTGTATATCTGTTACCAAGAAAATGACCATTCAACCTAGATTAAACGAGTGATATTGTCTCACTATATGAAAGCATACAGGCTACTCAAGTCTGAATCACCTGCTGATCAATGTTCGTAATTATGGTTTTCAATTTACACTATCAAAATGCAAAGTGCCTGCAAAAGATTACCAGGAGCTTATGCCTACATACACCCTGTGTAGTAAACCGTTGAAAGTTGTTGAATAACCCGTGTATCTAGGTGGCTGTGTTGGGGTGTGACAGATAAGAATTCGAAGTATGTATATAAGGATAGAGCGGTTATACGCTAACCTGGGTCATTTCTGGCTGCGCTGCGATTTAAGTCTCACCATTAATGAAGGGTGTACAAGGTATGTGTACAGACAATTCTGCCGTAAACCTTTGATACTTATTCTATTCGTGTTGTGGATATTCGATGGCTTTGCATGTTCTATCACTGTTGTCCATTGAACTGCTAGTAGTTCTGAATTGCACCACAGCTTGTTTGATCGTGATAAAGATCGTCATTTGTTGAGTGTAGTCATGTTGGAACACCAGTTCCAGTGGCGTCAGTCTGTTATGAATTTCATCCTCTTTTTGTTAACTACTATCTGAATGTGATAATATGATGTATAGCTGTGTGAAGCGACAAACCGTTTTGTGTCAAGTCTTGTGTTGTTTATGCTTATTCATCTACCTTTCGATTGATAAATGAATGAGCTAAGCCTGGTGACCAGATCAAGACATGACATCAATCAATGAAGTCTCTGACTGTTGGTCTAAGCCGCGTGGCGAGGCGTAGACTGCCTGGTTGGGGTTCCTTAAGCGAAAGGAATCAGTGGTTGAGAACTCATGGTGACAGATGAAAATCGGTCACAATGGTGTGGATGTATTCACTCCTTGACGTCTTCTAAAGCTTGAATACTTTTCTTCAAATTGTTAATTCTCTCTCTCTCTCTCTCTCTCTCAAGTTTGTATCCCTGTTTGTAAAATTGAAATGAAGCGCAAAGCTGATTTATAATCGCTCAAAGTTTCCAAGTTAATAAATACTTATGCTTTAATTTCAAGGCACTTTTCATCATATATTGACATCAGTTGGAGAAGGATTTAGAACCTGAGAGCACTGAAGAATTACCATCTCCTAGTTTGGAACTCTTCAGCATGGTGTATCCATGCCTCAGCGACGACAAATTGAGTACAATGCCGTCAAGTTTTATGGCGAGCCAATGGATTAGAATACAGTTTTCAAGTGAGATCATCACACAATGCGTAAAAAGGGTCTTGCATAAAGCATTCCCAGCCACTAAATTATGTCCCGGCTTCTACAACCACCCGATTCCGCCACTTCTATATGCATTTATCCATTCAACTGCTCCTGTGGAGTAAGTTACATTGGGCGTATAATGTGACAGTTCCATCGTCGAATTTCTGAGTACCACCCATCATGGTTGAATAAGGGACAAATTAGAAGTTATATAAAGAGCTCCATACTTGCACACTTAGTTGACACAGCACATCAAGTGGTTACTGGAAAAAGCCTTCAAAATCATCCATCACATTCCAATTCATTTACCTCATGGATTATGTACTCGGTTACTTCACATAACAGAGACGATTGCAATCCACCTTTACAAACAAACCTAACCTTTGTATTCAAACGAAGTTTGTTCCACCACTTTCATTACCGTGGCCGTCAACATGATGTAACTTCTAGGTTTACTTTATACACCTCTTCTCCTTCCCCTTGTTTCTATCAATATTCATATTTCCAATCGTAGTAACTTTATTAATTATTGACATCATTATTTCCGAAATATCACCACATGATTGGTAATTTGGTTAAATTGTAAGACTATGCATATTAGTGTAGAGCCCATTATGAAGACCTAATTGATAAAGAATATATTTCTTCACTCAATCAGTCTTTTTCTAAAAAAATGATTACTTTTGTGTGTTTTAATTCTTAAAATATTAACTGAGATATTCCCATTGTGATAATTAAAAAACAGAGTTTGGAGCAATTAAATATTTTTGGTAAATTATCATCAGGTTTTACATCATTTACATCTTACCAATTATTCAGCATAGTCTTCATTTGATATCGACATGGTTAAATTAAACTCAGCGCCCAATATTTGCCATACTATACGATCAATTCTTGAACATAGTTTTATTTCATTATTATTATTTGTCCCTTGAGTTGCTAATAGAACATACGGCTTCAGTAGCACGTCTCCAGTGCACTCTGTTCTCTGCAAACTTTTCAACCTGGCTCCACGACAGCCCAGAAACTCTCATTTCTCCCTCACGAAATCTTCTTCAATGTTACCCTCGACGCTCAACTCGTCGCTTCCCATCTGGGTTCCACTCCACGGCTTGGCCTGACGCGTGATGTCCCCAGTCGGCCTTCTCAGTGTATGTCCAATCCATCTCCACTTCCTTCCTCCACATATTTGTTGAGTAATAGGTTCTTGGTTAGTTCGTTTTTAGAATTCCTTGTTGCTTATTCTTTCTGGCCATCTGATCTTCAGTAACGAGTGAGCGTAGACGGCAGTTGTTAATGAATGTCTTTAGTTTGTTGGAAATGCCTTTCGTAACGCGCCAAGTTTCTGAACCATCACATAGAAGCACTGACTTGACTGACGTTGGTTTTGAAAATTCGGATGTTGTTCTTTGTGCTGAGTGCAGAAGATCTCCACACCTGTTTCAGGCTAATGAACACCTGTCTTGCTGTCTTTCCGATTCTGGCTGGTTTTGATGTCCTCGTCTGTGCCTATGTAGCATGTAGTTGGAACAGTGCTGCCAAGGAGGGTGGATGAAAGAGGCTACTTCCTTTAAGTTTCTCCCGTTGATGGTGATTGGAGATTGTTGTTGTTGGTGATGGTGTTGGTTGGGTGTCTTCATCACCTCTGTCTTCTCTACATTCACTTGAAGTCCCGTGTTCGCTGCCCAGCCTCGCCTCTTCTGTCAACTTGATAGTTTTCGCCTATAGATCTTCAAGTTTGTGTGACATCAGACACAAGTCATCGTTGGGAAATGCAAGTCTTCTAGGTTGTTTTCTGGTGTCCAGTCAGCGTATCCGCCTGTTCTCGCTCCTCACTGTTTGTTGCATGATCGAGTCCAGTCGACCACAATCAGGAATATCATGGATGATAGTAGGTTGCAGCCTTGTCTTACTCCTTCCTGCCTTCACTTCGAAGGCATCATTGAGCTTCCCATTGTGAATTACTTGGCATGTGGTGTCTTCATATAGTTGTTGAATGAGATTGTCAAAGGTTTGTGCTATTCCGTAGTGTTGAAGCAGAGGATAGAAGCTTCACTTTAATGTTGAAGTGTTTTGTGGAATTCATTGCTTCGATTCAGTGGCGTCATGATCGTTTGACGGTGTGTTCCGTAGTATTCCACTATCCCTTGAAAAGTCTCTAACTCTTGGTCTGAGCAGTATGAGGTAGGAGTGTTGGATCCCCTAGACAAGAAGAATCATTGGTTGAGAACTCTTGGTGACATGACTGATGTATTCATTGTGTAACATCTTAAATATTTTCACCAACCTTGATTTTTTACTCCTTTTTCCTCCTGTACACCTTTGTATATTGTGATACCGGTCTTTTTCTAGACACTTGTTCTTTGTATGCTACCATAAAGTGCCTGCAACCAGGACCAATTCATCTATGTTTGGGGTTCTACGTTAATTTTCTATCTATCTGTCTGTCTGTCTATGCCTTGAAAGTCAACTGGAGTGGTATAACACATAGGAAGAGTGGGAATATGGATTAATTGTTGCTACCACCACTCAGATATATCTCTGACCACGATGGAAATAATACTATTTTGTGGGCTTATACATTCATGTAGTATATCCAAGTGAATAACACCAATCAGTAATGACATTTCAATAACTACTCAATTCCTTAGGGTTCAGAGAGCATTTTTGCCATCTCAAGAACTTCTCTATATAACTAAATGTCATTATTCATTCCCTACTTTTCTTTTTAGATAAATCTACCTCTGAAAGCTTTGATATACTGACAAATTCTTCTCAAAATATGTCAAGTTTAAAAGATTGGCTATTCTGTGATCCTGTAAGTTAGTTATAAGTTTATGTGTTTTCTTCTCTCTCGAATGATATATATGAGTGAAACACAAAATTATATTGTCATATTATTATTATTATTATTATTATTATTATTGAGATACTACTACTTGTCTAGTAATTGGTGTCCTCCTCCAATCGTCTATGTTGAATAACAGTGTCAAATGCCAAGTTATTACCTGACTCAAGATGATTACAAACTAAAGAAATCAATAAAAGGAACAATTTATACCCAGCCATACTCATTAACCCTAATGAACAGTGTTCTGGTGTTTAAAGTGCAGTTTGTTGACTTCTACCCTCATTAGGATGAAGGTACGTCCAAGTGACTAGACTAATCCAGGACAAAGTACATCCTATATATTCCGTTCCACTGCTAACTGTGACTGCTGTGACTGATTGGTGCAGGCACTCAACTTTCAACTAGACGGTCACACATTCGAGACCTGCAAACAAGTAATATCATCAACCCTTGCACAATTGATGTGACATTATTATTATGATTAGAAGGGTAGTCCTCTAGTAAAATACATTCATAACTTTTCAGCACCAGAAGGTAGAAGGAAGCTACAGCATAACTACCATTGGTTTCGATTCTGAGCCATATCTGATAATGTCTCAAGCCACTGAGTTGGATGAGCTCTGGGACCTCACCCAGAGAGTCATGATATATCAACAGATGCTAAACTGATACAACTGTCCTTTCTCTCACTGCCCAATGCCATACATTGACCATCCCTCCGCTTATTTCATCCAGTCCCGGGGCTAGCAAACAATGAAAAGTATGGAAGCCGTTTTGGGGCGAAATGCATAACATATGTCCAACCCACCGAAGCCGGTGTTTCTAGATAACTTCACTTACTGAATGAAGATCTATATCATGCCCAAAACACACGCTGTTGTATCTCAGAATTACTTACACTGTGTTGCCACCGGATACGAGCAATCCTACAGAGACAATGATGACTGAACACACATAGTTGTTACATATCCTCCGCTTGAAGAGGCCAAATTTCACAAATGTAGAACAGAACTGGTCGTACCGAAGTCGCAACGGTACAAAAGGTGACCCAGATTGATGTATGCCACTCTGGCTTTTGATATGCGGTTAGAAACTTCATTACTCATACCCCACTAGCACTCACGTAATGTCTCAGATACATGAGCTTCTCATATACTTCCAATGGCCCACCACTGAAGGTGAGCAAAGACACAGGCTCCTACGAATCTTACAAGGGTACCTTACACTTTAATGGTGCAAAGCACATACCATACTTACGGATACCCTTAAGTATTCACTAGTAAGGTGGATTTGTAACAGTGAAGAAACTCATGTCGTTTAGCGCAGTTGTTTAGCTGGGCTATTCAAATTTTGATGATTTTCATGTTGTCTAGTCCTAAGTGCCGACCGAATTCTGTCGGTTGTTTCATAGTCTTGCCACTGAGCTAGAAGATTCATCGTTATGGTGGGCTGTAATAATTGGTAGTTGTTTGGATACCGTCTGTTTGACTGGACTAGATATTCAAAAGGCATCAGTCCCCTCAAGGTTGCATATATGTTCTGCTGATGAGTGCCAGAAGGGTTGAAACCTAGGTCCAGGGCTTCCAGCCGATTACTATCGACCAACTAACAATAACAAGAGCATTTTAGAATACTTTTTAGTTTATCCTTCAATTAGTCTTGCCTGCTTGTTTGCTTACCAGTTTTTTTTTGCCTTATTCATAATGATCAGGCTGAATTGATAGATATGCCTGGTCTGTCGACAAGTGCAAATCGTTGCACTAGAGATTACAATTCGTCAGTAAATAATCGTTCATGGTTAACACCAGAGAAGGATACACCTGAATTGATCACTACAAAAATGTCCACACTATCTGTTGACTCATCTTCTACTAGAGAACTTTTCCCTGAGCATCTTATTAAATCTGGACCAATTGAACTGTCACGCTGGTTAAGACAACAATCACCACCACCAGTAGCATCGATGAAATCTGAGACGTCTACAGAGTCGAATGCACAATTGTCTGTTGGACAAAATCAGTGTGATAATGAAAGCAAAAATATTTCCACACCAGTAAGTAAAGTGAGTCTTTTCAACCGCTTTAGTTAAATTTTTTCCCGTGTTATTGTTGACTGATATTGATTTTCGTAGTCATTAGTTCAATAAGATCATGGAGTTGTGGCTTCTCGGTTGAAGCCTTCGACTTTCAACCAAGTGGGTCACGGGATCGGACCCGTTTCATCTATCCAGGTTTGAACAATTAGCTAGTATCATAAGGGCTCACACCCACAATAGTTGTCGGTCATTGCCTACTGCATGAACATATACGTGGTTACTGAGCGCGTTTTGATTTTTGATTATCAGGAAGTCATAAACCAGTAGGAAACAGCTGTGCGTGATATATATGGTAACATAGTGTGTTCGTTTTTGGGGAATTCGAGGTTCATCTATATTTGAGGTTTGACACCAGTAGTGGAGTCAGTGGGAGTAAGCTCATGCCGGATGACCATGTCCTGGTTGCAAACTATGTTATTGGGGTGTGGTGGTGACGGCTCCGAGCGGTATCATATGTGTACAGAAACAGTGCTGCTTCTGCTGTTGACTACCATCGAAATAGACAGACGAATTGACAAAATCAAGGTAGAACCTCTCACATAAGTACACCGGCTGAAGTTGCCACAGTTCACTGTATTATACAATGAACAAGTAGGTGGGAAAGACTGATATCAAAGTTGTGTGGGAGAATTAGAAATTTGTAGATAACGATTAGTGCAAATATTCTAGGTTTAGAAGACGTTAAGGAGTGATGAATACATCTGCCCCATTGGGACCGATTTTCAACCATGTCACCAAGAGTCCTCAACCAACGATTCCTATTATCTTGCAGACCCCAGCTAGTTAGACAGTCTAAATCTTCCCGCACAACTTAGATCAATAGTCAGAGACGTCGTCGACTGTTGCTAGGTCTTGTTCTGGCTACCATAGGATAATGGTTCTATGCTCTTAGCCTAACTATACAGACATCCTGAACTTTTTCTAACCTAATCCAACTTCGCCTAACATGTCATGTCGTGGTAGTCGGTGGTTCGGGAGTCGCATTATATATCCGGGCCATCTCAGCCGATGAAGTAGTTCAGTAACTCTTGAGTTAATGACTCCATGGTCAAACTGACTAAGCTGAAAGATTTAGCTGGTAATAAGATCTCAATCATACTTTAGTCGTCTTGTGTTTTTGATATAGTATTACTAACTAGATGAATTTCCGAGCATAGTTTATTCCTAATGTTTATATCAAGGTAGTCACACAGCCTCCTGTCCTACATTTTCATATTCCTACTGCTTTTTCAGCATTTCATTTGATCTGATTAGTAGGAGAATTTTCCACACATCCGGAATCGGTGTTGCATCATTACGACTACTGGCACTAGGCGTGGAATTGAAGAGACTTTCAGTGATGAAGCTCTCTTTCTCGATTGAATTACATCAGTCTTCTGGAATATAACTGCTTGCCTTACATATTGCCTGGTGGCGTGTTATCGCATGCATAACTATGATTCATCTTAGTAGGGTCTATCACTCTGGACTTAGGTGAGTTCTTAAGCTTTTTTGGGTGACACTTTTACTGTGTTGAAATTCGAACAGATTCATAGCTTCTTCAAACACATTGGTACTCGATGGTAAATGGGATGTAATTTATTTTCAAGTTAGAAGATGAATAAGGCGAATTAAATGCATTAGATTGTCAGATAAAACGAAGACAAGATGATGGTTTAGACAAAAATGTCTACAGAAAGCCGTCGTAGTCTCCAATAGATATGTAGACTTTAGGTCGTCTCACACTGCAACAGCAAAAGATTGGCTTTGTCAAAAAAGTCGAATAAAGCAATGAAACATATAAGAGAAGCTTTACTCCTCAGTAATTATTCTAATATAGCTAAGAATGCATAAAAAGATGGAGAGATGGTAACGTGAACGATAATTGCAACATGGATAAGAGTCCTTGAAATCCCTCTTGATTTCAAAGCCTCTTTTTATGTTCTCATATGAGGAAGGGACACCAGAAAGCTTTTTTAAGATTCTCAATAAGGCTGGGATAGAATTTAAACCTACTAACTTACTACTCAAAAGAAACCGAATCTCTGTTCATCATTTCAACGTCTAGCGTGTCTAACAGGAATGATTTAACACTGACTCCCAGGTAAGTAGAAAATTCTATTAGCAATCAAATCAAAGCGGGAAAAAGCAGTAAAAACTGTGCTGTGCTTTAAGTATCGTCCAGTTAATAATGCTGTATCACTATGTACTACATCAAATAAACTAATTTAATATACGATTGCATTCTTCCACAACACCCAACTTCCGTACTCCGACACCAACCACTAACATGAAAATAATCAACTTGACTATCTAAGTGAGATGTAACCGTGGTTTAGGAGACTTGTACTGTTCATACTGGATAATGATTGAAGGTGAAATAAAAATCTGGATAGGGGCAGGATATGAACCAGCGACCACTGCGTTTCCGCTTTGATGCTCTATCGATTGAGCTTCGAGATTCGGCTGCTGATCATACTTTTATTTCACTTTAATCACCAGACCACAACTATCTCATTCAGATAGTCAAACTGATAATCAATATGATGCTCCCCCCTCTTTCTCTCTCTCTCTCTAATTCAAGTAGATTTGGATTTGAATGAGAAGTCCTGACTGAGTAGCCAGTGTAGGTACGATCAATCTATAATTAGTTAGTAGAGAACCGGGTAGGAAACTCGATGGTCTCTGGTTCGAATCTCCCCACGGACCAAATTTCCATTTCACGTTCAATAATCAGCCAATATCAAAACAAACTGACCCGGAAAAAAAAAACACTTTGATTAATCAGATAAATCAAGCAAAAGATAGGTGTGTTCGTATGTTGTTAACCTCGTGGGGATGAGGATCAAGTTGATAGTGAAAGTTCTTAATGGGGAATAGATAATTTCATGTGGATTTGAACATTTTCTATTGATCTAATAAAGCATACTTTTTGTTGAAAGGATGAATCATCCAGTTCAAAAGACATACCGGACACCAAAACTATCAATCATAAGCAATTATTCTCGTGTCCAGGTAACTCAAAGAGGGAGTTACGATAGTTGAAGATAGGGCTAGGTTGTAAAAAAGTTATGGCTGGTGAGACTAGGGCCTAACATCAGTCAATGAAATCGTTAACTGTCTGTCTAAGTCCTATAAGAAAAAGTAGACAGACTTGCAAGTTTGGTTGCTTGTGATAACTAAAACTGAAGGTTGAATACTGTAGTTGAAGGCGCTCGGAATCGGTATCATTGGCTCAATGGCATACTTATATGGTATTCACTTTAGTCGTCATATCACATTTCGTAGTCGACTTCAATCTAACTAAAGCTATGCCTCTCATTAGCAAAATAGCCTTTCATGTTCTTTATATTCAAGGATTCAGATCTATTCTGAAAGATTAGACTAGAGAGTGAGTTAAAATCTGTAAAAACCACCTCTTATGAAGGGGATATTTCATACACCTAGCCTAATAATCATATTCTCCAGTAGACAATTAATCCGTCAATGCTTTAAGGATAAAATACCATTTTTAGTTCCCTCAGTGTGCATCTATCTCCTTTACTTATATAGCTATGGAACAATGTACACTGGTGGTGTACAACGTCAAATTCGTACATGTATATTAGAATATAGTTCAAAGTGTTTATGTAGAAGAGAGAAATAGGAAAGAACAACAATCCTGTTTCAGTGGAGAATATTTATCAGCTCAAGTGGATGGTTTTGCTACCATTACATTCTCTCAGTTGGATAGTTTTACTTGTAAACGTTTTTTATCATACGAAGTTATATTGATGAAATCTCCACAATTAAAGCCACTTAGCTCAAAGAAAATAATACAACCAAGGGAATAGTAATTTTCTTCTCAGTTCAAAAACACCTTTTTGATTCTACTCCTAAACATTATAGTAATCTCATGATCTTATTGAGTAGTAAATTGATTGTTATTCGTTGCCAATAATTATAAATACGATTGTTCAACTTTATTAAATTTACTTCAGTGTTGTGTGGGGATTGATTGATTTCAAGTTGGTATTTATCACTGACTGACATCATGGAGAATATTTGTAGCTTAGGTGAATGGTCTTGGTTGTATTGTGTTCTCTGAGCTGGGTTGTTTAGCCGTGGAGCTTTCATCGTCTTGCTAGACGACATCATCACAATGGAGAAGGAGTCAAACAACCAACTACTATTCCTGGATGTTTTAGTCAGTAGGACAAATGCTGGAAAGCTGGAAACCCAAGTGTACAGGAAGCCAACACACACTGACCAAATCCTCAACTACAATAGCAACAACCCAACGACACATAAAATCAGTTGCGTGCAGACTCCATTCAAAAGAGCGAGAACACACTGCAGCACAACAACTTCACGAAGAAACGAAGAAAATTATTTGATGTCCACTCTAAAGCAGAACGGTTACCCACGAAACTTTATCAGAAGATGCCTATCCCGTGCATCACCAACTACAATGTGATCGACAGAAATCCACAAACGCATCTCCTACCATACATAAAGAATATATCAGGAATCACGACAAGATTGCTGAGACCACTTGGAATTGGTGTGGCTCATAAACCAACCTACAAACACTATTATGCTGACCAAAGGATGCAAAAAGTAAAGAAAACAAACCGAATATCATTTATAAAATCAACTGAAATAACTGTAGTTAGCATTACATTGGACAAAGTGGTCACCCTCTTCGCCTTCGTCTACATGATCACCAATTGCCTATTAAACGCCACGAAGTTTCGTCACTCATTTCAATGCATGTGGATAATTATGGACATGAATTCAATTTCGACAATGTAGAAATTTTGAACAGAGGAAAGACAAAGAATATCAGAGGATTTCTAGAAGCTTGGCATTCAGGTCAATGAGTGAGCAATCAACAGATGTATAGACATGGACCCGATCTATCAACCAATAAGAAAAATGATAAACGACGGGAAGGTCAGAGGTGAAGCAGAGGAACAGCTAACAGGAAAGTCTATACGATCAATGACACAACAATCGAAGGAAACAACCAACCACAGACCACATCGTCAGAGCGAGCCACTTAATCACTCACGAAGAGATATTGACAGCTCACTTCATTACTAAAGTTAGTACTGAAGATGTTTTCTAGAAGGACGATGAAAGCTTCACGATTAAACAAACCAGCTCAGAAAACACAATGCAACCAAGAAGACTGACATCAATTGGGGGAACACCTGGGAGAACTGGATAGCTGTTTTGTCCTTGTATGGGACTCTTTAGCAGTGCTTATCCACAACCCTCCCCCCCACTACGGATTAGGTCCAGGACCTTCGTCCCAAGAAAGCCTCTGGCGGATTTGTGCCGCCTTTCATAGACAGAAGACACACATACAAATAAGAACAACATATTCGCCAGTGCTTTCGATTCTGAATCACATAATCTCTCGGAACTCACCTACGAAGTTGTAAGGCACCAGTACATACGAATTCAACACCCGTATCATTCAACTCATAGCTCCATGTTATACGGTAGTCACCTCTCTCCAATTCTTCCAACCAGTCCAGGTGGAATCAATTAATTAATCCAACTCAACCTCGTATAGGATTATGTACTGGACTGTAAACTCTCACTTATGATACGACCTGGTCACGTGGGACGAAGTCACCGGAGTGGGTTTCGAACTCGAGATTTACTGCTTGAAAGTTCTATTCATAAGTCAATGTAGCATGTCTACACAGTATAGGAGACGCTAAGACTAACGCAACCCCCAAGCTAATGAAGTCAGTGTTTGAAGCTGATTTTATTCAAGAGATGGCAAGCTTCTCATCATCATCAAAGAGATCAACATAGGATCAGGCATTACTGCGTAACGGTCCAAGTTGCCACACCTCGTATCAACACATCAAGTAAAAAGGCAATAAAATGAAAGATGAAGAAGGAGAGAAAAATCGATCGAAGGGAATGAAAATAGAAAAGTAGTAAAAGGGAGAAAGGAAGAATGAGAAAATGATAAGATTAGGTATAGCGGTTAAGATCAGGATAATGTATGTATACATCTGCACCACTGACATCGGTTCTGAGCCATGTGATCACCTACAGTCTTCAACCACTGGTTTCTCCTGTCCAGCGGACCCCAACCAGCTAGTCTTCATCGCCCTACATAGCTGAAACCAACAGTCAGAGACTTCATGCATTGATGCCATGTTTTAGTTTGGTCGTCTCAAGCCGTTTTCCAGCCTGGACCTACTTCGGCCAACATTGTGTGACGAAGCAGACGGTGATTAGGCATACGTGACACATATCCCAACCATCATCTCAGTCGACGGAAGGTTCACAACCGTGCCAACTGACTTACCTGTCCTACCTAAAACTCCTCACCAGGCGCGAACATATGTCATAGCACTCCAGAGTTAATTGCATAGATGTTCCAATTGGATGTGTCACGAATCTTGTGCAAACAATGTTGACGGGTATCTACACTGCAAGCAGCTAATGCGAAATTGATGAAGTAAAATGTTATCATGTACAAATTGTTAGGCTGTGTTTTTTTTAAAGATTTCATGAAATGAAATCTGTGTACAATATATAGATTGTTGATTGAATCGAAGTTAACTAACACGAGTGTACTTACATTGGTTTTGCATAGGTGAATGAGATAGAGAAGTTTAATGCACCTGTGGAATTCGATACTCAATACTGTCCATTGTATGGTATTTGTCAAGGTGGTCCTGGTGGTCCAACATGTTGTGGTGGTTGTTCTCTGTCTAAACTAACTTCAATCAATGTTTCATCTCAACAAAAGAAACCAATGAATAGTCAAGAGTCAAGTGAAAATCTCAGTGTTATTGAACAATCAGAAAAGTCAAATCTATCCACACTGATAACATCATCCCTATCGGAGACTAGTAAACCAATTATAGAATCGAATACTTCACTTGTCGACGAATTGATACGCATTGCAAATAGTGAAATGAAACAATGGATTATAAACGCTTCACAATGTGATTCCTGTGTAAATTCTAGTTGTTGTCGTCGTTTACAGGAGCGACGACGACAACAACAACCTAACTCTGTTCATCTGAAAGCGACTACAACAGTGTCTAACAATGGGATCGATCAGAAGTGAGTATTACAGGTCAACAATATTGGATTAAATGATTTCTGTGAATTTAAAGATATATGTGTGTATGTGTGTTGAATAACTGTTTCGCCTTGTTCTAAACCTTGGAATAATATCACATGTGTTAGTTGATTGGGAGCAATCACCAGGTAACCTCACACCTTGGTTTCGTGCTTGTTGGCAGTCGTCAGCAAATTGTATCTCCAACCTGTACAGAACTTATGTCCTGCCTGGGATTCGAACCCATATCACCTAGTATTTCAGTCAGTGACTTTACCATCGAGGTATCCGGGTCAAAACCTAAGTCTAGAGCTACTTACCGATTGCCTCCGATCAACTTACCTCCATCAAAGCTCACCATGATAGTGATTCACCTAGCTTGGTAACTACATTGCAAAATGATCGATAGAATTCTATCAGCATTGAGGACTAAACAATGTGAGATTGGTTGCTCTCCAGCAATCAGTCAACGAATATCATATCTATTTATTATATTTATCACACAGTGAAGGAACAGTATTGTTTACTGAATTGCGTTTCGGACATAATTTATTGTCCATAGTCAAGCAAGATAGCTACACAACTTTGAGACATCCTTTATATAGTCCTAATTTCTTCACCTCCTTTGTGATGACATGGATAGTAAGATTTTCCATCTATCCGGAATAGGTGGTGAGTCATTCCTGTTACTGCATGTTGTATTCGGTGTTGGTTGGTTCGATAAACCAAGATTCGGTTACCAATCTCTCCCTCTACCCTGTTATTTTAGTTTTAAGGATTTCCACCCCGTCCCATCCTATTGTGCAGTTGCATGCCCAGCGTTTTCTTAATTGCTTTATCCTACTAAGACCTACTAATCTTGATCCAGGGTTTTGTGTTCGGATAGCCTAGTTGACCCTGATCGACTACTTTAACCTATGTATTTGACCTCACAATCGTTGTTAGGGATTTGGTAAACTAAATTATTCTGCTTAGTTGGATCAGTAGGATCTTGTAACCTAAACATGTTATTTCAAAGTGAGGTCGTAAGTTTAAATACCACTATAATCCCAGCTGCAGTCTTATTGAGTATCCTATGTTGTGTTTCTGAGGTGCCTTCCTTGTATGGTAATACAATAGAGGTTGTGAATTCTCTCTTCACAGTATTGCCACCATTATTATTAGCATTATTGTTACTACTATTGTTAACACCTCTGTTACTAATATTCGTCATATTCTGCTTACGATTACTTAGTTACTTATCAATTAATTTGCGGGGGGGATTGATTGTTGATGAGTAAGGTATCTTTAATGTACTTGATTTCTTGTCTTAAATCATCTGTCTTACTGGTAGGCTTTTTGGCGATGTTACTTTGACACTTTACTAAGCCAACTCTAACTGACACAGGGTTTGACGATTTGAAGTCAAAGTAACAATTCGCATGTGAAGGTTTTCTGCAGACACTAGTGTCTAAAGTCCTATTTTGATTGCATTTTATTCTGAGATCCAAATCTATCTGGGTGAAAATTGGTAGATCCTAGTAAGATAAGGAATTTAGAGAAAAGCTGAGCCATAGCTATGCATGCGACTACACACAACCACAGAATAGGATGGGATGGGACAGGGTGAAAATCCTTATAATTAACATAACAGGGTGGAGGGAGAGATTGATAATCGAATGTTTGTTTATCGAATCAACCAACACCGAATACGACATGCAGCAACAGGAATGACTCAGCACCTATTCCGGATAATATGGAAAATCTAACCATCCATGTCATCACAAAGGAGGTGAGGAAATTAGGGCTATATAAAGGATATCTCAAAGTTGTGTAGTTATCTTGCTTGATATGACTATGAACAATAAATTATATCCAAAATGTAATCGCGTAAACAATACTATTCCTTCACTGTGTGATAAATCTAATCAATCAATAAAAAGGGAATATCATATCTGTGTATACATTAATGACTGTGAACAATTGAAGTAGGGGTTCGAACTTTATTTTATATGCTTTAGTCTACCCAACGTATTGATAATTAAATCGGTCCATAGGCAGATGATTTACAAATTACACAGTTCACGCTGACATTTCTCACAGCTTTGTAGTTTTTTTTCAACTGGCCAACTCTTAATTCAACAGGGTTTCTGTTAGAAATGTACAGTTTTCTTTTTTTTTTTTGAACTAATCAAGTTGTTGACTTGTAGCATATTTCTCTAGTTCGTGATAATTTTGTGTCAGAGATCACATTTTGTGCTATGCGCTTGGTAGTTTCCAAAGGGAAAACTTGTTAATACTACAGTTAAGCTGTTAACAAACTACTCAGTCATGAATGATATCAATATGAAACATGGAATCTGTAAAAGTTGTAGGCTACATTTGATGGCTAGCATTAGGATCCAATACGTGCTTGTCGTCCGATTTGAGAATCGTTAGCTGGATGTACTTACACTCCAGTAAGTGATGTTGTTCCCATCAAGAATTGAACCTAGTACCCATCACTTCAAACACTAAAGTATTATCAACTGAACCACTGCAGTACTAGAGGCATTTACAAATTGATTATTGTATACCGGTGATTAAAAACATTTGGCTGTTTTGACTGAATACGCCTGAGTACAGCACTGATATAAGCCGGACACTAAACAAGTGAAACAGCCTTCTGGTGTTTTGACACTCTAAGGATATAAGAATTCAAGTTTCTTTTGCTTTTCTATGAACTCGACTACGATTCCATGTTGAACTCGGTTGATCATTATAAACAATGATGAAATCTAGTAGTTCTTAAGTAGTTTTGACTGAAGTTTAGTTTGCATATAAAATCCCTGAAAACTATAGGCTTGATTCATCAGGTAGCAAAAACAGATAGTGGTTTAATGTTCCCTGATCATAGAACCTAAGAAATGTCTGTCTAAAGCTGGTCAGACAAGGCCTTTTTTGAAAAGTTTGAGATTTTGGTTTGATTATACTAAATTCGGGTTAAAAGATTTTACTGGAAGACTACAGGGTATACGATAAGATAGAATCAGTTTGGAATCCGCATTATATGTGCGAGACACCTTAATGCTGTCATATCCCGTCTAGCCAATAATAGGAATTCATCTTCGAACTCTTGCTATGGCGTAAGATGTTTACACTATGAAATTAGATACTTTTATTTCCACCCTTTTCCAACAGATCTTTCTGGTATGATGAAACCCCCAAGGAACAGTTGTTTCGAACAACATCACTCGTTGGGTGATTATGATAAGCAAACGGGACCCACCACTTCAACGTGGTAGCCACCTTAATCATAGTAAAAGCAAGGCTAGAAGACTAGGTAGTCTATTCCCTTATGAGTTTAAAATACACTAAAACACCTTTTTATAATCATTTACATCACAAAAGCAGGAAATATCGAGTTTATCGAGAGACATCTGTATAGGAGTTCATTTGCTTAACACTGATCGAAAATTTTAGTGCAAATCAATCAACAATGTGATATGACTGGTGTACTCTACTATTCTAGCCATCTTGCTAACCCGTTATTGTATCTGTATTCATATAAATGAAAAGAATAAGTCTGAAAGATGTATAAAATAGTTTTTTTTTGTATGTGTGTGTTGATCATTGTTCCTTTTACCTACATTTCTCTTTCTCCAGTTGCTTATCTCAATTGAAGCTCGATAACGATATGCAAGTAGACGAAGAGAATGATGAACCAGTCACTTTATCATCGAATCGGTACAATCTTGTTTCACCGATTGATTTGAGTGAATCAAACAGAACATGTTTCTCCCCATTGAAATGTACAACATGTATATCTGTTACACCGAAGTCGTCGACCACTGATGTTGCTGCTACTACTACTATTTCTGATAGTTATGAGTATTGGTTAATTCAATGTGGCATTGAAGAGAACTAATCTCTCCTGTTTACCACCTATGATTACATTATACAGACTAGTCAAGTGAAACTTCATTATTGTTGTTTGTTTGTTTTTCATACAGAAAATATCCTTTGTCGATATTATACTCACATTAGAATTAATTCAACTGTATGATGTGATAGATACTTCTATGTATCTGTGCTATTATGTCACTGGTAGGAGGTGGGTGGGGATTAGTAACACTTCATATCAATAGGGACTTAGCTCTATTTGTGATTTTCACCCTTATCATTGTTTCTAGTGTCATCAGTTGAACTGTTATTATCTTGCACCCTATTCTTTTTTTTCTCTTTCACTTATCCTAACTTCTTGGTTTCTCATTGTTCTTGTTGTTTGAATTGATTGTCTACAAAATGTGATTGAAATAAAAATAATTCATTTAGAGTAAGTCACCTTGTTTTCATTATTTGTTATTCTCATTGTTATCTTTGTTGTTTGGTTTAACATTCTCTAAGTTTTGAATAGTATGTGGTAGACAATTTATCCCCAGGGTTGATAACATAATCAGCACTAACTTCATAAAGAAGTTATACAGTGATATGACATTTGACTCTGTTGATTTAGAGGTTTTATGGCAGTTTGTCAAGTACACGTACATCACTTTGTTATTGAAGATTTTGTACTCAGACATCCATAGGAGTGTTTTTGAGCCTATGGTGAGTTGTGTGTGTTGAGTGGATATCCACTAACTCCATTTTTGTTCAGAGGCTGACAAAATGCAGAGTATTTTAGACCTTGAGTGGCCGTTTGGAATGGATTTCTTGATACCTAAATACAAGTTGTTTCTCCGGGGACTGGTGTGCATTAGTACCCCGTCTAACAGCAGGGAGCAAAGTGGTTGAGTAAGTTGATCATTTCACTTACTTGGGAAGTTGAATCGACACATGTGGAGCAGTAACTGGTGAAATATTTGTACAGACATAAAAGACTTACATGGGTTTTGTCAACTTATGCTATTCTCAGCACTGAGGTTGAGTTTACTCCGTCCCAGTTCACTTTGTCGTGTTATATGACCAAGAACTATGGCTATCAAAGATGATAGACATGAGAAGGCATTATTCGCTTGTTACAGGATCACCACGTTCGTAATTCACTCTAGGTAGAGAGTCGTAGTTAGGAGAGGTAAGTCATTCGGTAACGTTTTATGCTGATATCATTTCAAGTGACTGGAACAATTGCTGCTCATGTTTAGTTTCCATGTGTCTCATTGCACAATGTTAACTTGAAGTAGATGAAAGGTGATCTGTGTAAAATATGGCATTACTTCATGAAATCTGTGACTGCCATTCTAAGTTGTATAGGTACTTTCAAGTTGGGGTTCGCATCAAAATCGGTACCGAAAATTAGAAATTATGGATGATATCGCTCCTAATCGTTCTCAGTGATAAAGGTGCATCCTACACACTATCTGTATCACAATTATGGTATTGATTTCCTTAATTACACGAATCCCTATTTTTTTTGTCTAGTATGTAGCGTTTGATTACATTTTCCTGTTTTCATCTTACTGCTTTATATTTGCTTATGTGAGGTTTGGCAACTGAAGTGACTGACAGAATAACACGCAATATGAGAACCCTACTAACGCGATGGGATCTGATACAAATAGTGGCTGTTTTTCCTCAAAACCTTATACTTCAGTGAACCGCAAAAATCAGAAGACAAACACGGTCCTGGGACTGTAGGGAAGATACTTTATTCGACAAAAACACATTTATATAAAGTCTTCATAAACATATATATATATATATATATATATATATATATATATATATATATATATAGAGAGAGAGAGAGAGAGAGAGAGAGAGAGGGATCACCGGACATGCTCACGTCATTATTGCAGAAGGTTTGCAAGGAAGTAAGAAAAGGTACCTGCCGACTGGAAGGACAACCAACTTGTCAAACTCCAAAGAAGGAAGACCTACATCTTAGCAAAATCAAAAACTGGCATGGAATCAATGCTCCTGCCCACCCTACGCAAAATATTTAACCGCATCATCCTGGAGAGACTAAAAATGCTCTGGATTCAAAATCATGACCGGAACAGGCTGGCTGCCTGGCTGGCTGGCTGACTTGAGGAAAAACAAATCATGTGCGGATCAAAGTGTAACTCTACACTACGCATCATCATAGTACAGAGCATAGAATGCCAGTCAACAGAATCTCTACCTCAACTTCATCGATTTTTAAAAGGCCATCGATCGAGGCGTCGACCGAGAAATAATTTGGCAAGCACATGCCTCAATACTACTGTTTTAGTGCCACAAACCTTTATCAACCTCATTCAACAGCATCTATATGCTTTGTGATGATGCTACATGCCAAGTGACTCACAATGGAAAGCTCAGCTCAGTGATGCATTTAAAGTGAAGACAGGAAGGAGTAAGACAAGGGTGTCTGTCACCTACTATCACCGATGATATTCCTGATTGTGGTCAACTGGACTAGACTGGATTGACCTGGATTATGCAGCAAGAAACTGTGAGGAGCTATGAGGAGATGGGACACACTGTTTGATCGATGCGAGGAAAAGACCCTAGGAGATTTGGATTTCGCTGGTGATGATGATGATGACTTATGTCTAATGTCTTGTGTCACACAAAGTCAAAGATCTACAGGGGAAAAGTAACAAGTTGATAGAAGAGGTGGCAGCGAAGACGGGACTTGCTTCAGGTGAACGTAGAGAAGATAGAGGTAGAGTTGGTGAAGATACCTAACGGACAACAACACTAAGAAGCAGAAATCACGATTAACGAGAGAGAGGTAAACGAAGTAGTCTCTTTCACCTACCCACCTGCCTAGATAGCATCGTTTCAACTACAGGCGGCACAGTCACAGATGAGAATGTCGAAACCAGCCAGAATCGGAAAGACAGCAAAACAGACCTTCCTTAAATAGTCTGAAATCAGTGTGGATAACTACTGCACTCAGCATAAGGCGTGAACAACATCCGGATTTTCAACAGTAATGCCAGTGCCTTTATATTGTTTGAGGACATCATGCGCCAGGCCGTTGAGTGGAACCCAAAGGGGTAACGACGAGTTGGGTGTTCGAGGTAATGGTGACATGTAGGAGATGGTGTGAGGAATAAGTGAAGGGTTGTGGGTAGTGGTGGAGTCAGGTTAGAAGAGGAGAGTGGAGAGAAGAGAGTGAAATGGCGACGTGTTACTGAAGTTCCATGTTCCACTAGAAACCCAAAGGAAAATAATGAAATATGTCCATACTAACGTATACTTCCATTTATGTTGTTACAGTTTTAGTGAAGCTAATAGAGATTTTAAATATAATTTTAAATGTGTTGTGTATGCTTACATACGCTTTGTCTTTGGTGATTGTCGGAGACATACACATAAGCATATATTATGTTATTTTGAACTAATACCATTTATCTAATTGGAAGCTTGAACTATTCACATCAGTATGCACTGCTGTTTTTGTTCTCATGTGAACTAACTCTGCAACAGTCAACTTGTATTTATTCAACTTTGTATTGCGGTTATAGTCATTATGAATCATAGTAAAGTGTTTCTGAGGGATCGATCTAGCCTTCACCCATTAGTCAGGTTCAATCATGTTCCTTTCAGTTCTATAATCGAAGTGGATTAAAGATATGGGAAAAATGATGATGATGATGATGATGATGATCATGACAATTGAATGATGAAATAAGTGGATTAATGAAAGTCGAAACAAATGTGATCATCAGTATATGGGGAAGGGTTTTGAAAAGTTTTAATAAATGAGGTGAGTTTTCGCTGGCCGCTAGTCAACGATAAGAATTTTAATGTCAGTCAAGTCAGTACTTGCATGCAATTGCCGTCTACACTCAATACTGAAGATCAGATCAAAAGGCCAGAAAGAATAAGCACAAGGAACTCGGTCTGGTTGGCAGCGAACCAAACAACAAAGAACCTATCACCCAACAAAATGAAGAAGAAATTGGAGATGGATTGGATTGAACATACACTGAGAAGACGGTTTGAGGACATCATTGTTACTATCACAACCTTTAAAAAAAAAAACAGATACTGCGTATTATTGAAGTTTATGCTATACCCTCGTATAAATTGTGTACACAAATCAATAAGTTGAAGATATGCAAAGAGAAAATGGATTAGTTGAAATCAATATACATTAGAGTACATCCACTCTACTCTCAGTTCTGTAGATTTTAAGGTGTTCTCCCCTTTATCATTGGACTATTATTAGATTAGTAGAAAAGATTAAATCTGCAAAGATTATAGATAAACGTATGTGTTTATTCTAATCCATAACAGTGTTAAATAACTTGTATAATTTGATGTTCAATAAACTTAGTAATGTGTGAATGAATGTTATTAGATGGTAAAGGATTGAAAGAGAGAGAGAGAGAGAAGTTCATCATTCTAGATATCTCTTCATCAGTATAGCAGATAAAATAAATGTTATATAGGTTGTGAAGAAAGATAAAAACAGTATTGAACCTTATAGAATCATGTATTAGTACAGCATGGAACAGGAAAATTGGGATTATGGTCATCAAGGAGTTTTCTTGTCTTTATTTGCATTGATAGGCGTCAATAAAGCATAAACAATATATGGTTACAAATCAGTCATTAAGTAGTGTTACGTAGCGACAAGAAGGCAGCCAATAGGGGAGTGTGTTTTCAAGTCATGATCTGATCATATTCAGGTTGTGATTTATGCATGCGCTGACATGAGAACCTGATTGGAGAAGTTCGACCTTATACAAGAAATCGGATTTGTTCATTTATGGCTTCACTTTCTGAGAGTTTTGTAAATACATATATGTCATGTATTTGCCTAATAAACGTTGTTGTCGCTGTTCTTGCAGTCACAGGCCGTCTTTGTCTTCTGATTTCTACGCGGCTCAGTGAAGCAGAAGGTACTGAGGGAGGTCAGTCGTAAAGATATTCGATTGAGGTGTCTATTGAGTCTCAGCATTCATTATACCCACGCGCGCAACCCCACCACTCGGTCACTACGAGTAGTAAGCGATGATTAACCTTCTACTCTCATATACTGAGGTCCACCTCAATCAATGACCCCTGTTGTATGGAAGTTAATGATTACTTTCTTGTGCGACAAACTGCTTAGATTTCCGTGGTTATGCCACTGGGCTACATCTTCACTGATCGAAGTCTTTGAATTATTTTCTTCACAATCCAACCATTAAGCAGTGTCCCATGGACTAAGACTGACTATATCTCTTGCTAGATGAATGGAATTAATCATTTGAAAACTGTAGAGGGTTGTTAAAACAAGGTGAGTTCAACTTAGTGACTGAAGCTCTAACTTCACTTTGAAGTGGATCAGGCTTCATTCTTCGTGAGAAAGTGTGTTTGTTCAACATTGCTGATATCTGCCAATCAACATGACATCTAGTTCCTTCAATAAAGAATATTGACATACTATTCAGAAGATTTCATTCCACTAGATCGTCTAGTTTCTGCACGCAACATATTTTAAAGAATCTGATCACAGACATACTTCTAAAAGATAATCAGACTTATCGATTTCAGGTTGTTATTCACCATGGATTGAAATTATTTGGAAGAACATTGGAAATATGGCAGCACTGGACAGTTGTTTCGCCCTGGTATAGGACTCCTCAGCGGTGAGCCAGGAATTGGGCCTCATGACCTTCAGGTCCTATGACCAGCATGTTACCATTAAGCCAATGGGTTGAAATCTAATGGTGCATATTTCCTACATCTGTCAGTTCACGATATAGCGTGGCTCTGCTAAAGGTAGGACACAGGACCTTCAGGTCCACGCAAAACCCTCCAAATTAAAATAAACTTATGTTTAAGCAATGTGACAATCCAAAGAGGTCGAATGAGAAGATGACATTGAAGTCCATAAGGATAGTGAAAATCAACTAAGTCAAAACAATTGTACCATGAATTTGCTTAACTTGACGATACATAAAGTTGGTCAATATCACCGTTGTACCTGGAATTACTGAGCAATAGTTCAAGTTGATAGACCTCACTCATATCGACGCTTCAAAATGGAAGGGAAAGGAATATGAAGGATAAAACGACAAGGAAGAAGAATGTAACCATCGATTTTAGTTTTTATGCAGACTTCAACCAGCAGCTCTACATTTCCCTACAAAGTCATGTTTCACTGTAACCACTCCTAACCTTTTTTCAGCCTAGACATCTGAGCCAATGAAGGTTTGAAGTCTCATCAACTGATTTAGTTATTGTCTAGTACTCTATCTCTGATTTCAACATTACTAACATGATAGTTCCATGATATGAAGCGGTTGGAGGTCTTTGATCATAAATGTCTTTGTAGTATTGCTGGCCCATGGCGGAATCACCATGTTAGCAATATCAACGCTAGATAAAGGATACTAGACAAGGTAAACAAATCGCTAAATGAAGTTGTGAACCTTCAACAACCGAAGTGACTGGAATATGTGTTGTACGTGCCCAGCTACTGTCTACTTCGACGTGACATACCAGCAGAAGTTGAATTGGGTTGAAAGAGGGTTCAGAGTGGCCAGATCAAGAGATAACAACAGTGCGTGAAGTAACTAACTTCGGGTCTGAGATGTGTAGAGACGGAAGTGTAGACTACACAGCTGGGGTCCCTCAGACGATAAGACTCGGTGGTTGGGAACTGTCAGTGGCATGGCAGATAATCGGTCACAGTGAGGTAGATGTATTCACTCGTTGACATCTTCCAAAGCTTGAATATTCGCACTGATCACTGTCTTCAAATTTTTTATTCTATCATACAATTTTGTCTACTTTGATATCACTCTTATTATATCCAGTTGTTTTTTGATTTTTACTGTGAAGCGTGGCAACGTGACACGATACACTTCTGTGCGAGGTTCTACGTTGATTTTGTCTGTACTTATGACAATTATAGTCCTTAAAGTGGTATGCGATCTCTGTACAGTGTAGTGGTAGTAGTAGCTCAGTTGGTAGAGCATCGGGCCGGAAACTCGATGGTCTCTCGGTTCGAATCCGTCTATGGTTCAAATTTTGATTTAACCTTTAATCACCACGCAGTATTCAGTACTACTCTGCCAAACCATGACTATCTCAATTTGTTAAAATGATAATCAATATAATTCTCCCCCTTCTTTCATTCAGTTAGATTTGGGTTGGGATGAGAAATCCTGACTAGGCAGCAGCCAGTGTGAATACGATCAAGCGGTAGTAACGCGTCACAAATTCACATGGCAGTTGGGCAAAACCATTGGTGATTGAAGTGAAATAAAAATCTAGTCAGCAGTCGGACTTCGTAGTTCACTTGGTAAAGGCATCAAGCCAGTAACCCGATGGTCTCTGGTTCAAATCCAGCTGCGGTCCAAATTTTCATTTCACTTTCAATCATCACCAAACATAATATAGATAAGAAATTGGAGAATATATGACTATAATCCAGTAGATATTACAACATGGATGAATGAATGACTGTTAGTTGGAGGTGATCGGCAGGAAGCCCTATCTGACCTCTGCGTAACTGATGTCGCGTCTGAGATTCGAAAATGCATCACCCAGCGTTGTAGTCAGCGTCTTTACCACTGAGCTATTCGGACCGCGACGGACATCCTGTAGGACTGGCATACATGTATTGATTGGTCACTGGAATGCAACCAATTTCATGTTGTCTAGTCCTGAGTGCAGACCGAATTCTATCGATCATATTCGCGGCCCGAATAGTTCAGTGGTAAAGACGCTGACTACAACACTGGGTGGTGCGGGTTCAAATCTCAGGCAGGACATCAGTTCCGTCGAGATTGCACATACGCCTTGCTGATGAGTGCCAAAAAGCATGAAACCTAGGTCAAACAGGGCTTCCTGCCGATTACCTCCAACCAACAAACATCTACTAATGTGCACCGTGATGCTGAGCTTCCTGACTTGGTTGCTGTATTGCAGATATGATCGATAGAATTCGATCTGCACTCAGGACTAGACAACATGAAATTGGTTGCACTCTCGTGACTAATGAATACATGAATGAATGACTTTCGTGCTATTCTAGGCTTGATCATAATTGATGAAATCGGTCAGAGTTTTGCGAAATTTGCAAGCTCGATTCAGTGATTAACAACCTATGTGTTTATATCCAGAAAACTAATCAATTAACACCATACCTCATTTGTTTGTCTTAGGTTATTTTTTAAACGTTTTGGCTTCAATGATTTTCTGATCGATTTATCAATTGACAGACTATTACCACTCATCATATTAGCGCAAAAATCACCATTTCCGTGGGAAATAAATTTGTTGTCATCTGGTTATGTCTAAAAAATATCTTGACGTAGTGGTCGGGCTTGTATATGACGTCCAGTAAGTTACACTGACTGGAACGCTTCTCTCTTGAGGTTTGTGGGATAGTGGTTAGTATAAGTTACTACGCTTTAATTGGTGGTCCGACGGTGAAGTCGTAATACTGGATGGGACTGTGGTGGGACAACAGTAAGGTGTTTCCTGCAGATGACCAGCGGCACCATTCTGATAATGTCTTTCCTATGGGAAAGGAGGTGGAGTAGCACACTTCTCTCCGCCCTCTGGTCTTCTTGTACCAGTGAGATATCCGACTACCTGTGAAGAGATGAGACTACTACACTGTAATTCGTTCTGTTGTCCTACGTTGGTTTCGTCTGTCTTTTCTTCATTGAAATTCCTTTTTTACATTTCATCGTGAACTGTTAAATGAAAACACCAAGAGTTCATCGAAGACAGCATGCTTCATGGTGAAGATTATCATTATTATTTTATTATTTGTCCCTTGGGTTCCTAATGGAACATAGGGATTCAGTAGCACATCTCCAGTGAACTCTGTTCTCTGTAATCTTTTCAACTTGGCTCCACGACAGCCCACAAGCTCTCATTTCCTCCTCACACGATCTCCTCCATGTCACCCTCAACTTGGACGCCCAACTCGTCGCTTTCCATCGGGGTTCCACTCCATGTCTTGGCCTGACGCGTGATGGTTGCAGTCGGCCTTCTCAGTGTATACCCAGTGCATCTCCACTTCTTTCTACATATTTGTTGAGTGGTAAGTTCCTGGTTGGTTCGTTGCCCAACCAGAGTTGCTCGTTGCTTATTCTTATTATTCTCGCCATCTGAGCTTCAGTAACGAGCCAGTGTAGGCAGTTGTTGATGAATGTCTGTATTTTGTTGGAAATGCTTTTCGTGACACGCCAAATTTCTGAACCATCACATAGAAGCACTGACTTGACTGGATTACTGTTGAAAATCCGGGTCTTGTTCGTGCTTTATGCTGATTTCAGGTTAATGAAAGCTTGTCTTGCTTTTCCGATCCTGACTGGCTTTGACGTCCTCGTCTGTGCCGCCTGTAGTTGAAACAGTGCTGCCTATTTAGGTGAAGGAGGTTACTTCCTTTAAGTTTCTTCCGTTGATGGTGATTAGTGCTTGTTGTTGTTGGTGGTGGTGTTGGTTGGGTATCTTCATCACCTCTGTCCTCTCTATATTCACTTAAAGTCCCGTCTTCTCTGCCCTGCCCTGCCTCTTCTGTCAACTTGTTAGTTTTCGTCTGTAGATCTTCGAGTTTGTGTGACATCAGACACAAGTCATCGTTGGGAAATGCAAATCTTCTAGGTTCTTCTTCGCGGTTAAACAGCGTATCTCCTTCTTCTCGCTCCTCACTGTTTGTTACATGATCCAGTCCAGTCGACCACAATCAAGAATATCATGGGTGATAGTAGACAGCCTTGTTTCACTCCTGTCTTCACTTCAAAGGCATCATTGAGCTTCCCATTGTGAATTACTTGGCATGTGGTGTCTTCATATAGTTGTTGAATGAGGCGGATAAAGGTTTGTGGTATTCCGTAGTGTTGAAGCAGTTGCCTGCCAAATTACTTCTTGGTCGACGCTGTCAAAGGCCTTCTCAAAGTCGATAAAGTTGAGGTAGAGAGTTGACTGCCATTTCATGGTGAAGATAAGTGTGGTAATTTTAATCAACCAGAAAAACTATCTTATCAGAGGATCCAAGACGTTTCAAGTCAATTTTCCATATTTGAACACATCAGTTTATCTAGTTGAAGTCAAGAGAAGTTGTATGATTGAAAGAAAACAAGAATATTACACCTGCTTGAAATCCAGACATTGTTATAACATAAATTCATAGGATTGTATTAAAAATAACCTGTTGAATCTACTCCAAAGTGAAGACGAATTCCAGAAATGTACCTGTTAAACAAAACCTCAATAGAAGTAATCAAGGTTCATGCATACTATACGGATTCTGAGACAAATGGTACACAACCTGGGAATCATATCGGAATTGTGTGAAGAATAGCAGCTTTTTATTGATTTACAGTTGTAGAGTATCAGTCACAAGCCACCAAAACAACTATTAAATTAACCAATTAAGTTTCATCATTTTATTGAGAAAATTATCATTCCAGCTGGCTATTTCAGTCGTTGTTAGGAGAGTTAGTCATTAAATTCACTTATGATTCACATATTTTTGTATGTTATTTATCACCTGTTTACCGAAGGAAAAAAGAAAAGGGAAAATAATGAAAGTACAGAAGGGAAACTATCTCAGATAGTCAAACTGATATTTTTATATTTGTCTCGCCTGTGACTTCAATTGACTGACAAAATCATAACAAAACTTTGTACATAGGTGCATCTATCCCACTTGTCACATATCACAGTTGTACTTAAAGAACAGGTGGATAGAAAAATATTTATATCAATTTGGACGAAGTTGTGTGATATGATAAACGGTTGGAAGATAAAGGGTAGTTCACATATTCAAGTTTTAGAAGACGTCAGGAGTGAATGAATCTGGGCCATTGTAAGCAAGAGTCCTCAACCACTAATTTCTGTCACCTTGAGTACCCTAACCAAGCAGTCTACCTTCAACCACACGGTTGAGACCAACATTCAGTGACTTGATTGACTCTTGCCTGGTCTTGGTTTGGCTATCTTGAAGCTTTTTTGTAACCTAATCCAACTTTCTGTTGTATTGAAGGCAATGACTTGGCAAATGTAGTAGATTTTCAAGCCATCCATTAGGATGTTATATTAGACCAACCTCTTTTTATTACGCATAGATTCATGATTCAATTCTGCCTGATATTTCTCTCTCTCCCCCCCCCCATTATTTCTTTTTATTTATTCAATGAATACCCTGAATTTTATTTATTTTATATTTTAACAGGAAGTATAGACTGTATCCATGAAATCGAAATCAACTTATCAACTTGTAAAATTATCATTTCGACAATTTTCTCTTGTTTATATTTATCCATTAACAGAGACTATACCATTATGTTTACCTAAAATGTTTACTGAAGTATTTATTAGTAAAAATTGTCATTTATTCCCCTATCCATCATATTGTAGTAAAGATAAGATTATTAGAAAATTGTCAAAAATTTCTTCAACACGTCGAGCTGAATTACTCTATGAACAAGTATTGAATAAACAATATGATAATGATATTGATGAATATACACGAATGCAACATCAAACACGTCAATGTATACAAACACGTCTTTATGATTATGTATTGAATGATATATTAGGTTTGTATACTATAAAATGTTCATTAGATAATTTCCCATATCTTCTTGATCTCGGCTGTGGTTATCAGTCAGTTGTAACCAGTCGTTATTCAGCTATCACCTTGTCTTCATCATCATCATCATCGTTGGCTAACAATACATTCTTTCCTATTTGTATTGATCTATTCAACTCAAAATTATTTTCTGTGCCAAATTATACTAATTCAAGAATTGTTCAATTATTAAAGTGTAATCTTGCTAAACAATATTCATCATCAATTAATCATATTATTCCACTTCGTGATAATTCAATTGATTATATTATATCAATTTCTTTTCTTCAATGGTTATTAATTTATCCAAAATCATGGATGTGTATTGATTATTTAATGCATGAAATTACTCGTCTATTAAATCGACAACCATTTGGTCAATGTGTTCTACAATTCTATCCATTGAATAATACAAATTTATATGATATTTCTATGGCAATAAGTAGAGTTGAACCAAAATTAATTGGTTGTCAATTGATTAGTCGACCAGTTGTTAATCGTGGAATGAAAATATTTTTATATTTAACCCCTGAAAGATGATAGCAAAGATACAGTTTTCTGTTGTTAAAATACCATTTTAATGCAACACTTCGTCGTCGGTGGTGGTAAGTCTCTCCGTGTGTGTGTGTGTGTGTGTGTGTGTGTGTGTGTGTGTGTGTGTGTGTGTGTGTGTGTGTGTGTGTGTGTGTGTGTGTGTGTGTATAACTGTTTCACATTGTTCTATGTACATACATCCTGTAAATATTTCTCTTACATTTCAATTAATAACTTACATAAAACTGAATTATAACTTAAATATTTTGCTTGTTTCTTAGTTATTATTTTAAATTTTCAGTAGTTAAGATGGTATCGGACGAAAACTAGTGTTAAAATAGGTTTCAAACTAGTGATTGGTTCATGTGATTATGTGGCTAACAGCGATTGGATGATTGATTTTTCGGGGTGGGATTGCTAACCCAATGCCCAACTTTCCCTCTCTTTTCGGTCTTAAGACCGGCTAGTAAACTACGAATACTTCACGATTTCTCATGTCGTCCTTTCACAGCAGCCATGCTAATCTTCTGTGTATCGTTCTAATTTTTTTATATGTACCGCCGAAGCGAGTATATATCTATATAGTTCAGAGACTTGGCGTGTCACGAAAAGCATTTCCAACAAATTAAAGACATACATTATCAACAGCTGCTGCCTACGCTCACTCGATACTGATACTGAAGATCAACCAGATGGCCAGAACAATAAGAATAAGCAACTGTCTGGCTGGCAACGAACCAACCAACAAACTATCGCTCAACAAATATGCACAAGAAAGTGGAGATGGATTGGATTGGACATACGCTGAGAAGACGGTTTGGGGAAATCACGCGCCAGGCCATGCCCTTGAGTGGAATCCAAAGGGGGAAACGACGAGTTGGGCGTCCGTGATGAGGGTGACATGGAGGAGATGGTGTGAGAAAGAAATGAAAGGTTGTGGGTAGTGGTAGAGCCAGATTAGAAGAGAAGAGTAGAGAGAAGAGAGTGAAGTGGCGACGTGTTACTGAAGCCCACTAGGAACCCAAGAGACATATAATAATAATAGTAATAATAATAATAACAATAATAATCAGTTTGGTTAGTGGTTAGTTGTTGTATGTCTGTCTGCCTGTAGGTGTTCAGCTGGGGTAGGTTAGTGGTTCGAGTATTAACATGTTTGAAACATGAAGTTCAGGTTAGGTTTGACTTATGTCTGCTTGATATTAATGATGACAACTGGCTGGCATTTGCATTTAAGAAGCATGTTTCGTCCTACTTGCGACTCATCAGCTGTATATACTTGCCTCCCGCGAATCGAGTTATTTTGATTCTTAATATCAACCAATAAATAAGGTACGCCGTGATATCGATTTTCTTTGGATTGACATTTTGGTCGATTGTTCTGGTCTGGAATCCGCTTTCAGTTTCGTACTCGTTTCCATGATTAACTCACTGAGGAAAGTGCCCAATGCTCGTCTCAACTATTGTTATCCCCCGAATTACTATACGAGAGTTGATCTTACATCCACTGAAGTCGCACCGGTTAACTCAGAGAGAAGATGAAGGTAGACTGGTTAGCCCACACAATGCAGTGCGGCTTTAAAAACCAGCCTAGCAACTGCTGAAATGATGAATCAAGTTTTAGTATTTAGCCTAGAAAAGTACTTTTCTAAAAAGTAAAGGAATGTAATTAGCTGTCTCATTGGTTGTTACGGTAGCCTTTAAAGTCACTCCACAATGTACAATTGCTATTTTTTGTATTTAGCAAAATATATAACCGACTTTAAAAACTATCCTGGCAACAGTCAAAATAACCAACTAGATTTCTCCATTTCGTTTGGGAACGAAGATTTCCATAAAATACAGAGTTCTAATTGGCCACCTCAATTGTTGCTAGGGCGCTTGAAAGCGTAGGCGGCCTAATCAGAGGAGGGCAACTATAAGGGTAACTTTAAAGGCAGCTCCAGCAACGACTTAAATAAACAATTGAACTTCTGTATTTTAGAAAATCTGCCTTTCTAGCCGAAATGGAGAAACCTGATTGGTCATTTTGACTGTTGTTAGGGTGGCCTTTAAAAAGGCCACCAATTAGATTTCACCTGGAATGGTAGATCTTCATAAAATCAAAAAAATTGCTTATTTCAATTATTGTTCAGGTGGTGTTTACAGTCACTTTTAATCACATACTATCAAGGAATTTGAACAAAGATAGACATGTGAAGGAAATTCGTGATCGATTGACTGTTGCGCCAAAAACTAGATAACAAGATATTCACCATTGTGTCACCATGTGAATAACGCAGACGTCAGGCGTAGACTTGTAGGAAGAAGAGATAAGTCAGTTGACACGGTTGTGAACCTTTGTCGACTGAGATGGTTGGGATATGTGTTACGTATGCCTAGTCGCCGATTGCCTCGTCACACAATGTTGGCTGAGGTAGGTTCAGATTAGAAAAGGCCCGAAGTGGCCAGACTAAAACATGGCATTAATGTATGTAATCTTTGACTGTTGGTTTAAGCCATGTAGGATGATGCAGACTGGATGGTTGGGGTGCAAGGGCCAATGGAAACCAGACGTTGGGGACTGACTCTAGGCAACATGGCTGGGAACTAGTGTTAGTGGCACAGATGTATACACATATTATCCTCATCTTGACCCTATTCCGAATCTCACCACTTTCTCATTCTTCCTTTCTCTCTTTTAGTACTTTATATTTTTTTCACGGAATTTTCTTCATCTTCCATTTCGCTGCCTTTCTACTTGGTGTACTGATATGACGTGTGGCACCTCGAACCTTTACGCAGTAAAGCTTGGTTCTATGTTGATGGATGATGATGATAGATATTCACCAACTAGTGAACTTTGAATGATAAAGTAGTGTATCTTATAGATTTCAGCATGGTAATCTGACGTTGATTTGAAGTTGGTTTACCGTTTACTGAGTGATTAATGACGAATCGAACCAAACATAAAACAGAAGCTCTTTGCTTTTCAAGGATACTTTCGGCGTATTCTGGCTATTGTTTATTGATTGAAGCTTGACAGTCAACTTATTGTGTCATGAAATAATCGCAGTTCATTTAAAGGTGTATGTCTGACTTATTTATCTTAGTCTCTGACTTTCGAGCAGTCGGTCCTAGTTTCAAACTCCATTATACCTTCGTCAACTTGTACACCTGAAAGGTAGGTGTCGTCTTCTTAACGAAACCTTTTATTTTCATCATAACATATCTCATAGGTATACAGTGTTCAGCTAGGCAATGAAAAATATGTAAATAAATATCTTGTACAAGTAGATGTGAAATGCAAACTGAATACCAGAATAATTTTTAGACCCTCCTAGATTCTGATTGGTTGATCTCTAACCAATCATGTTGAACCAATCTGTAGTTTCTATTGTGACTGATTGTTCACCTTGGCCTTAACTATTTCACATAATCCTATTTGTAGCAAAGCATAGTTACTAAATTATTTACGGATAACCTGAAGTTCTTGAAATATAAGGCAACTATGTCATAAGCTGACCCACGTGAAGGTTGTCTAGTCAACTGTTGGTAGAAGTAAGCTTCAGTGGCGGCCAATCACGTTCAAGTGCACTGCAACCAATCAGAATCGAGTATTTGAAGGACAACGTAATTATTGAGCAAACTGGAATTTCATTTGTAGTTTATAAATGCATTTAAAACAGAGATTTCAGCGAAAAAAATTTCTCCTTGCGATGACTTCATTTTCAAAAGCCGTTCAATCGTATTTATATATAGGTTGAGGTAGTTTGTGTGTATTTGTTTCATTTTTGCAATAATTGGAATTGCGAAGTGCGAATTTCTTTTCTTTCCTGTAGGAATAAGGCTGTGGAAATTTGCGCCGGTCGATAGCTGCTACCTTGACGTAGTGGTTGGGCTTGCATATCACAATGACCCAACTAGCTACACTGACTGAAGCGCTTATTCCTTCGAGGTTCTACCATGCCAGGAAGATCTGTTGGATACTGTGTGGTAAGAACAACAGCAGTTACCGTTGAAGTGTAAATTATTATAACACTATGATGGGGGTCTGAGAACGAAGTCCTACTGTTGCTAGCTGGATGGGTTGTGACAAAAGTAAGGTGCTTCCCTTGGGTCACCAGCTGTGTCACGCTGATGCTCCCTTCCCTATGAGAAGGTAGGGGTTGAAGAGGTCGGTCGCAAAAATGGCACACTCCTCTCTGCCTCACGATATTCCGATGCTGGAGTTATGGATTATCTCAGTCTGGCGTCAGAACAACCAAATCTCAAAACAACTGCCCGCTAAAGGCTGTGTGTGACCGGCCTTCAGCAGATGTCCCATGAGCTATGCTGTCACACAAATCTTTTTCTCTTTCAGATACCTTGAGAAGAAATAGCTGTCCCCGGTGTGGGAACCTGGAAAGTATCAATTACCAGAACGCTTCAGGTAGTACACAAGACAAAATCGAACAGAACCTATCCTCCTCAACTCTATCTCCTCCTTTGCCTTCACATCTTGATACTAATATCAAGCCTCTTACACCTTACCCAACCTCTCGTCAATCTGCAACCATTGACAACGACCCAAGCGATCAAAACCTCAGTCTTGGTCTACTAAGACCCCGCCATCGATTTCATATATGAGCCTTCAGCGTTCTTTCTGTATGCCAAATCGGACAAGAAGCGTCACTCGCTGGAACTGCAAGCCATAGGTGTACGTTATGTCTTGGGACACGTATTCAGGACCCGAGTGTGATTATCAAACTGACTTCATCTGATCATAGCATTGAATCTTCAAAATCCATCTTAAGAGCTTCAGGAAACCTAGTGGCTGGCTACCGGGGACTTTCTGGTGTAGGCATAATATTGAGCTGTAGGGCAGAAAGTGCGCAGCAGTCGTCTATGTCCCGTTCAACTGAATGGATCTACAAGGACTAGGTGATGCCTATTCGTAGTCTCCGCCTATGCACCCATCTACTGTATCTTGGATGATGTAAAGGATGGATTATATGAGAAGCTGCTCATTTCGCTACAGAAGGCAAAACGTTCAGATGTAGTCATAATGGCAGGTGACTTAAAAGTTCAAGCAGAGAAGCTAAGGAAACCTGGCATGATATTAGGTCTCGCGCTGAAGCAACCGTG